TTTTTTTTTTTTTTTTTTTTTTTTTTTTTGTGAGACAGAGCCTTGCTCTGTCACCCAGGTTGGAGTGCAGTGGCGCAATCTCGGCTCACTACAAGCTCCACCTCCCGGGTTCACACCATTCTCCTGCCTCAGCCTCCCGAAAAGCTGGTACTGCAGTTGTCTGTCAACACACACAGCTAATTTTTTTGTATTTTTAGTAGAGGTGGGGCTTCACTGTGTTAGCCAGGATGGTCTCGATCTCCTGACCTCATGATCCGCCTGCCTTGGCCTCCCAAAGTGCTGGGATTACAGGCGTGAGCCACCGCGCCCGGCTACATAGAGTTATTTTCTATTGTCAGTTCTACTAGTTAAGAAGTTACAAAGCCCAGATACAAGAAGACAAGACATAGACTTCAGCTCTCCAGAAAAGAATGTCAGAAAGTGTGGGGCCATGTTTTAATACCATCTCAGGCACCAAGCACACTTAGCATAAGAGGTTTGTTAGAAACAAAGGTGACAATATTATCTAAGGGCATGATTCTGTTGGTGCCCAGTGAACCGGCAAGAAAGATCATATGTATGAGCCACTGAACACAACCTTTTAGGCATCAAGTCTGGGCTGCCACTCTGAAAAAGCCCAGGTTCTAAGCTCTGATTCCTATATCCCATTCTTTCCAAGTGGACCACCTACACCATATTTCCAGCCAATTCACATACTGAACACCACTATTTCAAGGCATGGGAAGTTGGCTGAGAAACAATTCCTTTTAAATGATTGCCAAAGGAGGAAGTGATATTTGTGTTTTGTGATTCACTTCCACGCGTTGGTCGAAGAATGGTGTTTTCTTCTTTTCTTGAAGTAAGGGTTTCCTCTTCTATGACAGTTGATAAGAAAGCTAGAATAAGCAGAATCAGGACCAAAGTGTGTATTAATTGGTGACATGGGAAGAAACAGCTGCCCCCTCAAATGAGTTAAATGAGGGGGGTTTCATGAAAGGACTGTTTATTTAGGTGGGGGTAGGGCTAAGGGAAATCAACAGAGGATGGCGAGGCACCCTGGGATTGGCAATGTGGGTGACCTCTTACCACTTGTTGACTTGAAGGCATGAAGGGAGGGAGCATCCATAAGAACCTGGAAAGGGCTTTAGCCTGCAGCAGAAAAACCCAACCACTGTCCAAATGTGCAATGCTGCGGGGGAAGAGGAGGCTGGGGAAGTAAACACCACATCTCTTGCTGCACCAGCTCTCTTTTCTTCTTCCGGGGCTAACACTGGTCAAATCCAGCTTCACAGCAGAGCATGCAAGTGCCTCATGATCCAGAACATACAGGGAAGCCTCTCAATGCACGGGGCTGGTTGCAGAAGGATGGAGAACAGGTGTTTTCCACAATTGCCCAAAGTGAATTGTTAAATGCTTGTTAAAGTTTGGGAAATGACCAGGCCATATCAAATGTTCCTAGACCAAATATTTGCTCCCTTGGGTTTTGAGATGGGCTGATTTCTGTGATGGTGACAGTGTACTGTACTGCTCTACCGAGGCAAGGTGAGATACCCGACGTAGAGATTAGAGAGGAAGGTCATCATTCTCCTATCTGATGGCTTCTGCTTTTGTTATTTCTTAGTTTGTTCACTGCGGCTCATGAGTCATGCTGCTGTCTGTATCCCTTTCCGGGACTTATTCAGATTCCTCAAGAGAGACACAGGTTGAATGGATTCGTCAGTCAATATTTAATATACAAAACTATTTGAAGGTACGCTTATCTTCTTGGCCATCTCATAAGTTGTTGTTTGCCATATGGACCAATCCATGTTCCAATCAGCTGTGGTTGGGAGGCAAAGTTAAATAATACCATGTCTGACAACATGAGTGCAAATAACTTATTCCAGCACACCTTGGAAAGTGTCTCATTTGGCCTTGGGTGTATAACAAACCATCCTCTCCTTATTGAATTTTTTTTCTTTCTTTCTTTCTTTTCTTTTTTTTTTTTTTTTGCTTAAAATAACAACTATTTCACGATTCTGTGGACATTTCTTCAGATCTGGGCTGGCTTGTTGGTTCCATTCATATGTGTTTATGGTCAGTTAGAGGGTATGCTGGTTGAATGGATGATCTGACATGGTCTTACCCACACGTGTGGTGATTGGCAGATTGGCAACTGAAGTGATGAATGATTGGCTATCAAGCCTTGGTTTCTTCCACACGGCTTCTTAAACTCCAGCAGGCTAGCATTTCTTTTGCATTCTGTTAGCTGTTGTTTCATTGGCCAAAGCCAGTCGCATGGCCAAGATAAGACCCGCAGACTACACTTAAAGATGGAGAATTCTTCCCTCCCAGGGCGCAATCTGTCGCGTGCAGAATTGGGCCATGAGCACACAGAATACTCAGAATTTCAGGGACTTCCTTTGGGTTTAGGCGTTTCCATTTTACATTCAGACAATTTTCTCTTCAGTACAGCTGACAATGGCAGGCTGAATCCGTCTTTCATTTGTCATTTGAAAGATGCTGCAGCAGGCTGAGCACGGTGGCTCACGCCTGTAATCCCAGCACTTTGGGAGGCTGAAGCGGGCAGATCACCTAACGTTAGGAGTTCGAGACCAGCCTCGCCAACATGGAGGAAATCCCGTCTCTACTAAAAACACAAAAATTAGCTGGGTGTGGTGGTGTGTGCCTGTAATCCCAGCTACTGGGGAGGCTGAGGCAGGAGAATCGCTTGAACCCAGGAGGCAGAGGTTGCAGTGAGCCAAGATTGTGCCATTGCACTCCAGCCTGGGCAACAAGAGTGAAATTCCATCTCAAAAAAAAGATGATGCAGCAAACATTTTGAGTAGTACATGGAGGAGGTGATTACCAGCCCAGCTATACAGTCATATCTATGTGATTATTTGCATAATTTATTGCATTTACTCTTATGAATTTATAAAAATAAATGGAAAACAGAAAGATGAAGGTGTTAACGTTTGGGATAATAAGACAATGTTTCATACACGTAATAAAATCAAGACAAGGAGTAAATTGCTTGTTGTGTATTTGGACTTGCCAAATTAGGGCATTATTTGCCATGTTCATGCTGGATCTTACCAAGATTCTTCTAATACAAATGAGACAACAATTTCAGAATACCACCCTAATGAAACCAGTTGAAAATCTTATCAGCCAAGTCTATCAGTGTAATTCTGTTAAATGGTACCATCCCAAAGACCAAGAATATGGATGAGTCATTTTTCCAAGTTGGTCAACTGGAACAGGAAATTAAGCTCTACAAAGATATGCTGACTCCTTTCCACACTCTGGCCTTCAACTCTGGTAGTGAAAATTAAATTAAAAGGACCTCTTTGAAGTTGAACCCATATCCTTGGGAGTTGGCCTCACTCTCCATTATCACTCTCCGTTTCCCACTGACCACCATCACCATTTCCCCGTTCATTTTCTGAGGCACTTTGATATGGTCCACCATGATAATGTACCACTTACATTATGGCAATGGAAGGAGAACTAATAGACCCTGCATTATGCAAACTCCCCAAACAACAACGCAGCCTCCCTTGTCCACCCACAAGACTCCTTGAGAAACCGGAGCTCAAGATAAAAAGCAACATACTTCCTCTTCTGTCAGTTCTGAGACGCTACCAGGCTCAGTGAGAGGCAAGGACTTTTCATCTTTAGGGTAAGTAGTATCTTCCTATAGAAAATAGGAAATGTTTTACTTGTGATCCTGAATCTAAGAAAAATATTCTCGTTCTGGAAACATTTTCAAGGAGGCCTCATTACTTGTCTGATTATTTCTTGAGAGCTGCTATGACGGCTTCTATCTCACATTCATTTTTTCCACTTCTGCTTGGGCAAGGAGTGTGTGTGTTGTTATGCGATAGTCTGAAACCTGCTGGGATGCCTTATCACGCACAAAGAAGGGGGCAATGGTGCGTAAAGGGGCTTAACGTGAACTAAAATGATCAAGATTCGAGAATAATCTAAGATGAACATAGTTTATAACGAACATGTTATGAAAAACAAGGAAAACAAGATCTAAAAAGATGAGCCAGTTTCCTAAGTCTGTAGGATGAATTAGCAGCTTTTTCATACACCTCACACCCATAATATACACATCAGCACATGTGTTTAAATGCCAGCCTCACAGTCATCGTCATTATCATGGTGGAAGGGTTTTGTGCTTTATTCATGACCAAAGCAGAGATCTACAGGTCAACTTTTTCACCCAGCTGGTTATGACCCACTGGAGGAGGCTGGTCACTTTCAGTGGATGGGTCTTCTTAGGCCACTACTGTGTTCCTGTGGAGACGTCACAGGACTCTTGTTAATTCTCATTACCCCTTGGTAAAAGGTCAGTCCTTAGCATGCACCACCATGGCACCACCTTAGTGAGTAACAACCACCAAGGCAACAAGCAGAAATGAAAACAACTCTAATTAGATAATATCAGTCGCTGCAAATAGTGAGTTTCTTTGTGTGTGATCCTTGGCTCAGTTCTGTGTGTCTGCCTCTCTTTCTCTCTGATGTGAAATTCTTTTCTTATAATTGGTGATGGTCAAAAGTCCTCTCCAAATCAGCATCCCTAGAGGCCTCGGCTGTTGTGAAAAATCTTACCACCTTATTCCTTTCAAAATACTCACTGTAGGTAAACTTGTTTCAAATGAGGCCTCAGCAAAGAAACGCCGTTATCTGGACAGGGGTTCTTTTCACTGAGAATTTTCCAGTTATATTTTAGAGTAGACTTTATGAAGCGTGGAGCAACACGACTCTAAAAAGAAGACAAAGGTTGAAAGAGGAAAGGTATCCAGAAAGTAATCAAGTATAACTCTACCAACGGGACACAAGTTTCCCACGACAGAATTTGATTTCAGTGAAGTAGAGATTGCAAGTGATTGGCCTCCTGGTTCTGTATTTAAGGAAAACGTGGGTGTGGGTGTCTCTAGATAGCCTTTGGTGTCCAGTTCCCCACAGTCCTTATTACTTCCCACCAATGGCCTTATGTATTTATGTTGCGTGTCTAGACCCTGGGAGACCTTGGAGTTTATGACCTTGGTGAGGTGGTTGCGCATGGGCTTTGGACTCCACCTGACGTCGTCCAAGTCTTAGATTTGTGTTTTCCTAGCAGCACAATCTTGAACAAATGATATCATTGTTTGGAGCCTCAATTTCCTCATCTGAAGACTGAGGAGACATAAAATTATAAGACCTACATCATGGCCGGGCACGGTGGCTCACATCTGTAATCCCAGCACTTTGGGAGGCCAAGGTGGGTGGATCACCTGACGTCAGGAGTTCCAGACCAGCCTGGCCAACGTGGCGAAACCCCATCTCTACTAAAAATACAAAAATTAGCTGGGTATGGTGATGCGCACCTGTAGTCCCAGCTACTCGGGAGGCTGAGGCAGGAGAATTGCTTGAACCCAGGAGGCAGAGGTTGTAGTGAGCTGAGATCACACCACTGGGTGACAGAGAGCGACTCCATCTCAAAATAAAATAATAATAATAAAATAAAGACCTACATCATAAGATGGTTGTAGCTTTCAATAAGAGAATAGCCATATTAGCCACAAAGTTCTTAAGGCACTTGGCCCATAGTAGAAGTTCCATAAGTGATTTTAGGAGGCAGTAATGGAAGGGATGAGAGAAGCATCTGCAGCAAAATTTGATTTGCAAGCAGGATTCCAATGCATAATATGCAGTTGGCCTGCTTAGGAATAAGTGGCTCCATGGGATGGGTCTTCTTAGGCCACTACTGTGTTCCTGTGGGGACTTCACAGGACCTTTGTTAATTCTCATCACCACTGGGTAAAAAGTCAGTCCTCAGCATGCAAAGTTGTGATTACAGTTGGGGTCAGGAAAAGGACATGACAGATCTTCATGACCTCTGTCGTCACCATCATCACCATCAGCATTACTGTCACTTCCACCATCCTTGCCACCATCACCACAACCATGCTGTCCCCCTTCACTATTACCATCACTGCCATCACCACCACTATCATCACCATCACTGTCAGCACCATCATCACTATCATCATCATCACCACCATCACCATTACTACCACTGGCATCACCACCACCACCATTACCATCACCACCATCATTACCACCATCATCACCATCACCACCATTACCATCACCACCATCATTACCACCATCATCACCACCATCATTACCATCACCACCATCACCATTGCCACTATCACCATCACCACCATCACCATCACCACCATCATTACCACCATCATCACCACCATCATTACCATCACCACCATCACCATTGCCACTATCACCATCACCACCATCACCATTATTACCATCACCACCATCATTACCACCATCATCACCACCATCATTACCATCACCAACATCATTACCATCATCATCACCACCACCATTACCATCACCACCATCACCATTGCCACTATCACCATCACCACCATCACCATTATTACCACCACCACCATCACCATTGACACTATCACCATCACCACCATCACTGCTATTACCACCATCACCATCACCATTGCCACCATTCCCATCACTACCATCACCATTATTACCACCACCACCATCACCATTGACACCATCACCACCATCACCATGATTACCACCATCACCCTTGCCACCATCACTATCACTACCATCACCATCACCATCACTTTGCCACCATTGCTATCATCATTACTATCATGTCCACCATAATAACCACCGTCAGGACCATCACCACCACTGCCACTTTCATCACTACCTCCACCATCATTATGATCTCCACTGCCATCACCACCATTACCATCACGACCACTACTATCACATCCACTACGACCACCACCACCACTACCACCATTATCATCCTTCCCTCTTTCCTTCACAGGTAGCTTTATTCAGGATGTAGCACATGCCGGCAGGTGTGAAGGGTTGTCTCACTGAATCAGCATGAAACTGTAAAATATGTGCTCTTTCTTAGCTATGTTTTGCAGACGAGAGGCTTGGAGGTAAAGTCACAACCTCAGAGCCACTCAACTAGTAGTTGTAGATTTGGGATTCAAACCCAGGTTTGCCTGTGCACCAAATTCTAAAGCCATCTAACTGTGTAGGGCCAGTATGTAACTGTGCGTGAAGCATGGAGGGAGAACTGCCACATAAACACACAGGCAGCCCCAACAGATTCCAAACTCAGAGATCAAAGCAGCATGAATATATCAAAGCAGGAGTATCAAAGCAGACCTCTCAAGAACAATTTTTAAAGTCATTTTGTGGCTGGGCGTGGTGACTCATGCTTGTAGTCTCAAGACTTTGGGAGAATGAGGTGGGTGGATCACTTGAGGTCAGAAATTCAAGACCAGCCTGGCCAACATGGTGAAACGTCTCTACTAAAAATACAAAAATTAGCTGGGTGTGGTGGCAGGTGCCTGTAATCCCAGCTGCTTGGGAGGCTGAGGCAGGAGATTTGCTTGAACCTGGGAGGCGGAGGTTGCGGTGAGCCAAGATTACATCACTGCACTGCAGTCTGGGTGACAGAGTGAGACCCTGTCTCAAAAAAAAAAAAAAAAAAGTAATTTTGTTTTCTCTTTTATTAAAACACTTCATTATATTATTATTTTTATTGCTAAGGCAATGTACATAATTTAGAATTACAGCTGAATAAAGAGAAATTTAAAATCACTCATACTGACATTCTTCTATTAACATTTAAAATTCTCTTACATGTGATATTATATACTTTCTTTATAACCTACATTTTGTATTGATACATAATAGTGGTACATATGTGTGAGTTCCATATGATATATTTTGATACATGCATACAATGTGTAATGATAGAATCATATAACTTCATTTTGATCCTAATGCTACGTCATAATCACTTTCTATGGATTGTTTTGTTTTGTTTTGTTTTTTGAGACGAGTCTCGCTCTGTCACCCAGGCTGGAGTGCAGTAGTTTGATCTCAGGTCACTGCAGCCTTCACGTCCCGGTTCAAGTGATTCTCATGTCTTAGCCTCCCAAGTAGCTGGGATTACAGGCACCTGCCACCATGCCCGGATAATTTTGTGTTTTTAGCAGAGATGGGTTTTCACCATGTTGGTCAGGCTGGTCTCAAACTCCTGACCTCAAGCGATCCACCTGCCTCTGCCCTCCAAAGGGCTGGGATTGTAGGTGAGACCCACCGCGTCCGGCCCTATGTTGTTCTAATAGCCTCCTACAACATTATTTTTTGCATGTGATATCGGATTGTTTGCGTTGCACATCATTGTTGTTTTCCTTCCTGCTTACATTTTGTGAAACTTTTCTGCAAACTACTTAAAGCATCTTCTCCATCAGTGCCTCCATCATCACTGGCAGAGCCTTTGAAAGGCTTCACCGATCTGCAGAGTACATCATCTTTGCTAATGTGCACGGGAGGTTTTATCTTAAACCCCAGTTGGCCACCGACATTACCTTAGGAGAATGCTTTCTGCATTTTAAATTGATATCCGTAGGCAAACGCTTACTACAATGCTTCTTAAAGTTCTCTTTGAAAGACTCATTTAGGCCTGGCTTGGTGGCTCACACCTATAATCCCAGCACTTTGGGAGGCCCAGGCGGGTGGCTCACCAGAGGTCAGGAGTTTGAGACCAACCTGACCAACGTGGTGAAACTCTGTCTCTACTTAGAAAATACAAAAATTAGCCGGGCGTAGTGGCGGGAGCCTGTCATCCCAGCTACTAGGGAGGCTGAGACAGGAGAATTGCTTGAACCCCGGAGGCGGAGGTTACAGCGAGACGAGATCACACCACTGCACTCCAGCCTGGGCGCCACGGCCAGAAAGCCTCATTGATAGTGATGTCTAGTACCTCCACTATTTTGTCTGTTAGAAATGATTTCTGTTTTGAATAGAAAAGACCTTCACTTGGTTCAAAATTCAAAAGAAGAGGATAAACTGAAAAGTCTCCTTGCCTCGGCTTCCCAGTCACTTGGTTTCTTTCTCTTTTTAAAAAATATTTTATTTTATTTTAGGTTGGGTACAGTGGCTCACACCTGTAATCCCAGCATTTTGGGAGGCCGAGGAGGGCCAGCCTAGCCAACATGACAAAAACCCGTCTCTACTAAAAATATAAAAAATTAGCCAGTCATGGTGGCAGGTGCCTGTTATCCCAGCTACTTGGGAGGCTGAGGTAGGAGAATCACTTGAACCTGTGAGGCGGAGGTTGCGGTGAGCCGAGATTGCGCCACTGAACTCCAGCCTGGGCGATAGAGCGGAAAAAAAAAAAAAAATTATTCCACAATGTCAACCTAAGTCAAAACATCATATTATAGCCCATAAGCATATGTAATTATTTATGAATTAAAAATTAAAAATAAATAAATCAATGACAGCAATGTAAAAAAAAGAAGAAGAAAAAAAGAAAAAATGAGTAGTTTGGTGGAGTTTTCCACTCTCGATCTTGCTGATTGCCATAGAACAGGATTTCAAATTCCAGCTGGATATTTCATCAGGTGCATCCGTTTTTTAGCATTTGTTGAGTGATAAACTTGTTCCCTATAACCAAATGTGCTATGATCATCCTTGCAGGGTCTTTTCCTTGAGAGAGTTAACCAGAGGCAGAATTATTGGGTCAAACGAGAGGGAGAGATGAAAGGTTTTTTGTTGGTTGGTTGGTTGGTTGGTTGGTTTCGAGATGGAGTCTTGCTCTGTTGCCCAGCCTGGAGTGCAGTGGTGCGATCTCGGCTCACTGCTACCTCTGCCTTCTGGTTTCAAGCAATTCTCCTGCCTCAGCCTTACATTTTGATAAGCATTGGCCACGTGGCTTCTGAACTTGGGACCATCAGGAATCGGATTTCATGGGGCTTGTTCATTCCAGGCACTCTGACCGCGTCCTGCTTAAGAGAGATTCTTCCCGGCATCTCAGCGCTATGGGGAACAGGTGCCTCCTGGTCCTGCTCTTGGGTAAGTGGAACTAAGAACGCCCTTCCCTTCCCCTCATGTGCCTGGTATTCTCGCTTGATTTGCTCCTTCAAATCTGGCATTTTCTCCAGCATTAACTGCGTGTGCCTGTGCTATTAGAAGCTCTCATCTCGAGTCAGGCTGGGCTGCCACAAAGCAGAACTGAAACAAGGACTCGTGTGCGTAAATAGTTTATTTGGGAGGGGATCCCAGGAAAGGAGGGTGCGGGGAGGTCACACAAGGAAGGGTGAAGAGCCGCTGAAGGGTGTGTTAGTGAGGGGGTTACCACTGCGGGTAGGTGGGGTGCTGTCCTGCTAGGGACCTCCAAGAGACAGTGTAATTCCCACATTTCTGGCCTACTCCCCAGCTGGGTGCAGTAAAATGCACTGTTGCGGAGAGAGACAGAAAGTCATCTGCGGCCGGGCACGGTGGCTCACGCCTCTAATCCTAGCACTTTTGGAGGCCAAGGCAGGTGAATCACTTAAGGTCGGGAGTTTGAAACCAGCCTGGCCAACATGGTGAAACGCCATCTCTACTAAAAAGACAAAAAATTTAGCCGGCCGTGGTGGCAGATGCCCGTAATCCTAGCTACTCTGGAGGCTGAGGCAGGAGAATCACTTGAACCCAGAAGGCAGAGGTTGCAGTGAGCCAATATTCCGCCACTGCACTCCATCCCTGGGTGACAGAGTGAGACTCTCCATCTCAAAAAGTAAAAAAAAGAAAGAAAGAAAAAGAATGTTATCTGCATTCATAGGAATCCCCTCTGGGGTAGGCTAAAGGGTCACTTCAAATATCTGCTATATGGATTGACACCAAGCAGGTCCATGCTTGGAGCATCATAGCTCAGTAAGTTACATCCTAGACCTTCCCACCCTGTCCTCTGGGCCTTAGGGTCTTAGAGACAAGAAAAAGAAATCTCCGTAGGAGGCATCAGATACAGTTTAAGGATGGAAGGTTTGTTAGGAGACCTTACAGGTGAGTGATGTTCCATACTGTATGTAAGGGGTGGACACATTTTTTTCTGTAAAGGGACAGATAATTTGTATTTCAGCTTTGTGGGCCATATAGCCTCTGGCTTAACTACTCAATTCAGCTATTCCAGCCCTAAAGCATCCCTGGCCTTATGGAAATGAATGGATGTGGCTGTGTGTCAATAAAACTTTATTTACAGACATAAGCAGCTAAAATGCGTATTGTTTTCATGGCCATTAAGTATTATTCTTCTTTTGATTTTTTTCAACCATTTAAAATGTTTTATGTAAAAAATATAAAAGTCATCTCAACTCATAGGTCCAGTTTGCTGACCCCTACCCTGTGGGAATCAAGTGATATTTCTCTCTGAAAAAAAAAAAAAAATGATTCACAGGAAAATTGGTGTTGAGAGTTTTGGCTCAGAAAAATGGCCCTGTCAGCCAGGCGTGGTGGCTTATGGCTGTAATCCCAGCACTTTGGGAGGCCGAGGTGGGCAGATCACGAGGTCAGGAGTTCGAGACTAGCCTGGCCAACGTGGTGAAACCCCATCTCTACTAAAAATACAAAAATTATCCAGGCGTGATGGCGGGCGCCTGTAATTCCAGCTACTTAGGAGGCTGAGACAGGAGAATTGCTTGAACCTGGGAGGCAGAGGTTACAGTGAGATGAGATCGTGCCACGGCACTCCAGCCTGGGAGACAGAGCAAGACTCTGTCTCAAAAAAAAAAAAAAAAAAGAAACAAAAACAAAACAAAATGTCATAAGAGATAACCTAATATTATAAATCTTTAAACATAATGTTTTCATCAGTATGCATGATATTGAAAATAGCATGCATGATATTTAAAATAGTAAATACAATGGGTGAGACAGGAGCAGGTGACTTTACCTTGCCCAGGTACCTTGCCTTGTTCTTTGATAACTCGAATGGACCATGAGCATGACCCAAATCCAATCTCCTAGGTATTATTCGCTATGCTTACACCATCTGGGGGCCGACATTGTTCATAGAAGCAGATGCCTCCATATTTTAGCAAAAGATTCCCGCAGAGCCACCTTGCAACGGAAGGGATAGGAAAAAAATTCCTTCTTCAAGTGCCTGCGCATTCCAAGCGTATTTGCCTTAAGGGAGTGATGTTAGATAATCCAGGAAGAAATCGGTGGAGAAGCTTTCTGCGTTTCTGAGTTCATCCCCAGTGTATGTATTTAACTTCAGTCTAACAACAGGGCAGCAGGAAGGGATCATCTTCAAATCATCATTATCCATTCCAAATTTGTCAAAATATCTGAACTCCCAGGATTCTCATGCCCCATGAATATTCAAATCTCCTCGTACCTCAGAGGAAACCCTATTTCCTAAGGATTAAACCTACCCTGTTGTCACCCGGGCATGGCTACTGAGCACTCAGAATGTGTCTAGTCCAAACGGACATGTGCCGTCTGCACAACATGCATACCAGATTTCAAAGACCTAATAAACACAAATACATTTAAATGATGGATGAATTATTTATTGCATATTGATTATGTGTTGGAATAGTAATATATTTCAACTACATTGAACTAAAAAATATTATCAAAATTAATTTCATGTGTTTCTCTTTGCTTTTTAAAAATGTGGCTAATAGATGGCCAGGTGTGGTGGCTCACACCTGTAATCCCAGCACTTTGGGAGGCCGAGGCGTGCAAATCACTTGAGGTCATGAGTTTGCAACGAGCCTGGCCAACATGGTGAAACCCCATCTCTACTAAAAATACAAAAATTATCCAGGCATGGTGGCAGGTGCCTGTAATCCCAGCTACTTGGGAGGCTGAGGTGGGAGAATTGCTTGAACCTGGGAGGTGGAGGTTGCAGTGAGTCGAGAACATGCCGTTGCACTCCAGCCTGGGCAACAGAGCAAAACTCTGTCTCAGCCAAAAAAATGTTGCTAATGGAAAATTTAAAAGGACCTATGGGGTTTCCATTTATATTTTTCTTGGACAGTGTGTGGTTTGAAGTCTGGACTGATATTAAAATAAACTGTTGAATATAGAAAGGAGATTGCCAACTTGGTCTTTTGGTGCTAGGACATAGAGAAGAAGCTGAATTCGCTGCTGGGTTTTCTGAAATTGGGAAACACACCTCCAATTAGATGCACTTCCCATACTTTAGAAGGATATGATGTCCAAATCTGTGACTCTTGTGTTTATAACCTGCCTGGAAGACGCTATGGTGAAGCTTGCACGTGTGACTGGGCAGAGTTAGGGTTAGTCGTCCCTAACTCACCCAGCCTTCAGCCAAGCAGAGTCCAGGGGATCCCTGTCTGAATGATCCCCTCCTCTCTCTGTTCCAGGTCTCACTATCTTACTGGTTCTGCCAGGATCAGAAGCTGAGAATTCTGGAGGTGAGTCTATTCATAGCCAAAGGCCAGAGGAAAGGAAATTGGGATCTGGAAGCTTCCTTCAGAGAAGGGAAGAAGCTTTTTTCAAGAGACAGAGCATGGAGTCTCTGGCACTTCCTTCTGGCTCTTTGGAGATCCCAAGAGCTGTTTTCCCATCTCCATCATCACCATCACCTGCATTTACATAGCAAAGCACATCACACATGCCATCTCAGTCAATCCCCGTGACACTCCTACAAAGACAGCATGGGCATTGTCCCCACTTGATCGAGGGTCTTCCAGAAAAGTGGCTGGCTCAAGGTCACATGGCTGGTGGATGCTAGACTCTCCTCTTTCTTTCCCCAAGCCTGTGTCTTGAGTCATTCCAGGAAATACTTTGCCTTCACTGCAAGCCATTGCTTGGGTTCCCCAAGAAGCAGACCCTGAGAGCAACCCGTTGTTCTGGGAGGGAATCCTAGGAGGCACCAGCTGGGAGTGGGCAGTGGCATAGGAAGGGGAGGAGCTCATATAGGATCTTTATCAAGCAAGTTACATGTGGGCAGCTGGAGTTTAATCCCTGAGGGCAGCTGTTGGGTGTGGCATGGAGCAGGCACCTCATACCCCTCAATGGGTAAGGAACCTATTGATTATGACTATGTTCTAAATTGTGGTAAAACGTACACAACATAAAATGTAGCTTTTTAACCATTGTCAAGGGTACAGGTCAATGCCATTCAACGTTTGCACTGCCATGCAGCCATCACCACCATCCACCCACCGTGTTCTTTCTAGTTGCAGAACTGAAACTCTGTGTCTAGGAAACATGAACTCCCCATTCCTCCTCCCCAAGGCCCTGGCACCCACCATTCTACTTTCTGTCTCTGTGAATCCAGCGACTCTGGGCATCTCATAGGAGTGATCATACATTATTTGACGCTTTGTCCTGGCTTATTTCACGGAGCATAATGTTCCCCAAGGTTCATTTATGGTGTGGCGTGTGTCAGAATTCCTTTCTTTTTTTTTTTTTTTTTTTTTTCTTTTTTTGAGACTGAGTTTCGCTCTTGTTGCCCAGGCTGGAGTGCAATGGTACAATCTCGGCTCACTGCAACCTCAGCCTCCTGGGTTCAAGCGATTCTCCTGCCTCAGCCTTCCAAGTAGCTGGGATTATAAGCATGCACCACCATGCCCAGCTAATTTTTTTTGTTTGTTTGTTTGCATTTATTAGAGACGAGGTTTCACCATGTTGGTCAGGCTGGTCTCAAACTCCTGACCTCAGGTGATCCACCCAGCTCAGCCTCCCAAAGTGCTGGGATTACAGGCGTGTGAGCTACCATGCCTGGCCAGAATTTCCTTCTTTCTAGAGGCTGAATAACATACTATTGTGTGGATGGACCACATTTTGTTCATTCATTTATTCATTCATGGGCACCTGGATTACATACAACATTCGGCTATTATGAATAATGTTGATATGAACATGAGTGGACAAGTATCTCTTCTATACCCTGCTTTTGATTCCTTTGAGTATATTCCCAGAAGTGTGATTGCTGGATCATATGGTAAGATCATATGGTAATTCTGATTTAGAATTTTTTGAGGAATTGCTATACTGTTTCTCATAGTCATGGCGTCATTTTACATTTCTACCGGCAGGGCACAAGGGTTCCATTTTCTCTACCATTCTCACCAACACTTGGTATTTTCTGTTGTTTTTAAAATAATAATGAAATTGGCTTTTTTTTTTTTTTTTTGAGATGGAGTCTCGCTCTGTCGCCCAGGCTGCAGAGCAGTGGCACTATCTCGGCTCACTGCAAGCTCCGCCTCCCAGGTTCATGCCATTCTCCTGCCTCAGCCTCCCGAGTAGCTGGGTCTACAGGTGCCCGCCACCATGCCCAGCTAATTTTTTTTTTTTTTTTTTTGTATTTTTTAGTAGAGACGGGATTTCACCATGTTAGCCAGGATGGTCTCAATCTCCTGACCTTGTGATCCACCTGCCTCAGCCTCCCAAAGTGCTGGGATTACAGGTGTGAACCATCACGCCTGGCCAAAATTGGCTTTTTTTTTCTTTTTTTTTTTTAAATGCACTATCTTCTATCAATCATTGATAAAGGGAGCTACTTATGAGAGGAAAGGCATTGTTAACCTGTCATGTGATGAACAAAGAGAATTCTGGTAGCCAGGGTGAGCCCTCAAGGAAAGAAAAACAGGTGCTGGCATTTGGAGGTTCACTCATCTGGTAAAACTAGTGTTGGTGGCAGAAGTGGGACATGGTTGGGCACTGTGTGCCCCTGTGTTCAGCAAAGGTCTGGGTGCCAAACGGATGCCAACAGAACTATTCCCAACATGACATTCTTCTGACAGCAGCATTGATACAGGGTAGACGCATACTGAATATTTCTTAGACGAATGAATGGATTCTGTTTCTCTGCAGCTTTCTGTCCTCCATGCCCTAAATACGCCAAGTGCCACAACAGCACCCACTGCACCTGTGAAGACGGCTTTTGGGCCAGGTCTGGCAGGACATACTTTCATGAGTTCTCTGAGAAGTGTGAAGGTAAAAATGTTAACGGGGTTTTAATTTAATCTCTCATTAGTGATAACTATTCTGTTCCATGTGTCCTCTGCCCAAAACACATAAACCCATAGCCCAAATAAAACTCGTCTCTCTTCAGCAGACTATTTGATAAAGTACAGCTGTCGGCCAGGTGTGCTTGTCCCTGAGTCCTTCAGATGGAGAGCACAAGTATAAGTCTGTGGTCCAGAGCACCTTTTGTCTGTGGGTCCTTTGCTTGAGCCTCAGCTCTGGTCCATTCAGCAGAGAAGGCTGATGTGGTTGGGAGCGGCAAGACACATAAACATTGCATAAGCCAGGAATTTTTTTTTTTTTTTTTTTGAGATGGAGTCTCGCTGTGTCGCCCAGGCTGGAGTGCAGTGGCGCAATCTCGGCTCACTGTAAGCTCTGCCTCCCAGGTTCACGCCATTCTCCTGCCTCAGCCTCCCGAGTAGCTAGGACTACAGGCGCCCACCACCATGCCCGGCTAATTTTTTGTGTTTTTAGTAGAGACGGGGTTTCACCATGTTAGCCAGGATGGTTTTGATTTCCTGACCTTGTGATCCGCCCGCTTCAGCCTCCCAAGGTGCTGGGATGACAGGTGTGAGCCACCACACCTAGCCTTTTTTTTTGAGTCAGAGTCTTACTCTGTCACCCAGACTGGAGTGCAATGGCGCGATCTCAACTCACTGCAACCTCCGCCTCCCGGGTTCAAGCGATTCTCCTGCTTCAGACTCCTGAGTAGCTGGGATTACAGGCACACACCATGACGCCCAGGAATTTTTGTATTTTTAGTAGAGATGGGGTTTCACCATGTTGGCCAGGCTGGTCTTGAACTCCTGACCTCATGTGATCCACCCGCCTCAGCCTCCCTAAGTGCTGGGATTACAGGCATGAGCCACCACACCCGGCCAAGCCAGGATTTTAGTAGTGTGGTCCTTCCTCATCTCTCTCAAGTTTTTATAATAGTGTGTTAACTTACCCTATGTTTATTACCCTGCTATGCACTATGTGTATTAAATTGATTTAGCAAATGGTGTGACTTAAAAACAACATTAAAAACAACATTCCATCCTTATTCTAGTGATTTGATATGTCATCTTTACCATGTTCTAAAGCTCCATAGGTGCTTGGGTCTATGTCTGGACTTCTAGTCTATTCCATTAGTCTATTTTTATTTATGCATGCATCAGTACCTCTTTGTTTAGTTGCAGCTTTATACTTTGTCTTAATGTCTGGTTCCCACCTTGTAGTTTTTTCTGGCTGCACCTGCATGATAGCAACAATTTGTCTCTCACCTCATAAAATATACATGTAGATTTTTAAAAATTGGAATTGTATTGGATTTATAAGTTAACTTAGGGAGAACATTGATGGACAATGGTTGGGCAATAAAGATTTCATGGGCAAGGGAAATGGTATAATTCTGTGAAAATGAAAGTAACACTTTCTCTTGATTCACAGATATTAATGAATGTGAGACCGGGCTGGCAAAGTGCAAGTATAAAGCTTATTGTAAAAATAAAATTGGAACTTACATCTGTAGCTGTTGGGTAAAACATCCTATCCTCAACTGGCTAGCTGGTTTTATAGATTATAATTTTCCAGATTGTTATGGTAAGAACCTCCAAATACTATTTTCACTGAAAAATGATGGGGACTTGGGGGAAATTCTGAGAGATTCTCTAATTTTAGGCCAGGGTAAGAGAGTAAAGCTCCATCCTAACCCTCATCCCTCATTCCTTTGTTGTCTTTGATGATATTTTCCAAGATGGTGTCATCCAAGCCTTGGCATCTATAACCATCTCTATATAGATGGTTCCAAATGTATGTGTCCAATACAGGTCTGTTTCCCGAGCTTCCAAAAGGGCACCTTTAAATTTCTTCTCAATTCCTCTATTTAGTCATCTCTCACTCATGTTAAATTCAATGTTTATGTCTATCTACCTATCTACTAAATCTGATGAATTCACACTGATACCTCTGGTTCCAGTTCAACATCAAGGCTTGTTGGAACCTTCCCTCTTTCCTTGTTTGTAACTTCCTTCTCCAACAATGAGAAACCCGTCTCTCACTATCCACAATTTATTTATTTGTTTAATTCCAGCATTATTTCACGTTTTGGGTAAGAGAGATTGAAGTGCTAAATCTTCCACTTATCATCTGGCTTTCAGTTAATGACTTAATTTCTATATACCTCATCTTTAAATGGGAGTAGTAATATTAATAGTATCTATTGTGTCAGTTACGTGTTGCTACATAACAAGTTACCCCCAAATTTAGTGGCCTAAAACAACACATATGTATTGTTTCATAGTTTCTCTGGGTTAGGGAACTAAGCATGGCTTAGCTTGGTCTTTTGCTTCTGGGTCTATCACAGTTGCAACTGAGGTTTTGTCCAGGCTGTGGTTTCATCTGGAGACTCGACTGGGGCAGGTTCTGCTTCCAAGCTACTCACAAGGTTGCTGGGAGAATTTAGTTCCTTCAGAGCTGGTGGACTGAAACCCTCAGTTCATTTCTGGTGGTTGGTGGGAGGCAGCCTTTAGTTCCTAGATATGTGGGTCTCTACAGCTTGCTTTGTTATAGCAAACACATTAGAATGGCCAGAAAGAGAGCATGAATAAGACAGGAGTCATAGTCTTTTATAACCCACTCTCAGAAGTGACATCCTATCACATTTGCTATATTCTGTTCCTTAGAAATGAGTCACTGAGTCCAGTCCACAGTCAAGGGAAGATTACCCAAGGATGTGAATGCCAAGAGGCAGGGATTATTTGCAGCCATTTCTGAATCCTTCTTACTGGACTGAATAGTGTTCTCCCCAAATTGATTCCACCTGGAATCTGTGAATGTGATCTTATCTGGAAATAGGGTATTTGTAGATGTAATAAGTCAAGATGCAGTTATACGAGATCAAAGTGGACCCTGAATCCTACATGATTGGTGTCCTTATAAGATGAAGAGTATTTGGACACAGAGACACACACAGAGGGAAGATGGCCATGTGAAGACAGAGGTGAAGATTGGAGTTATGCTACCAAAGGGCAAGGAATGTCAGAGACTGATGGCAACCACCAGAGGCTGGAAGAGGCAGGGCAAGGTGTTTCCCTGAAGCCTTCAGAGGGAGCATGGTCTTGCTGGCACCTTGATTTGGACTTCTGGCCTCCAGAACTATGAGACAATACATTTCTATTGCTTTAAGCCACCCAATTTGTGTCACTATATTATGGCAACCCCAGGAAATTAATACACTTTACCTATTCATTATTATTATTTTTGAGATGGGGTCTCACTTTGTTACCAGGCTGGAGTGCAGTGGTGTGATCTTGGCTCACTGCAACCTCTGCCTCCCAGGCTCAAGCAATCCTCCCACCTCAGCCTCCTGAGTAGCTGGGACCACAGGCCTATGCCACCACACCTGGCTAATTTTTGCATTTTTTGTAGAGATAGGGTTTCACAATGTTGCCCGCACAGGTCTGGAACTCCTGACCTTAAATGATCCACCCGTCTTGGCCTCCCAAAGTGCTAGGATTACAGGCGTGAGCCACTGCACCCAGCCCCTACTCATTATTAATGTATGTGAAATACTTAACAGTCCTAGGCACCTAGGAAGAGTCCGTTAATACTGGTTATTATGCTGTATGTGCCTTTTCTACAACTTTCTGTGTTCCCTGAAATGAGATAATATATATGAAGGCACTTTATATACTGCGATGTGTAGTCAACTGCTTCTATATTATTAAGTCAATTAACACTGATTTCTTGCATGTCACCCTGATGTGTTGGGATCCTCTGCTATATACTCCTACACCATCATGTCCTATTTATTATTGATTGATTGATTGATTGATTTTGGGAAGTCCTGTTTTATTTTATTTTAGATTTGGGTGTGGTATATGTGCAGGTTTGTTGCGTGGGTAAATTGCGTGTCTCTGGGGTTTGGTGTATGAATGTTTCCATCACCCCAGTAGTGGGCATAGTACCCAATCGGTAGCTTTTCAGCCCTCCTCAGCCTCCCACCCTCTCCCTCTAGTAGTCCCCAGTGTCTATAGTTCCCATCTTTTTGTCCACATATCATGTTCTATTTATTAAGAGTAAGAGCATCCCTTGCAATTGCTTAATTATTTATTCATAATAACTTGCTTAATGACTTTCATGCCAAACTTCAGATTCCACAAGGGGACACCTTTGTTTCTTTTCCTAGCCTATATCCATATATTTCAGCATTGTGCTTGGTTTCGAGTAGGTGCTCAACAAACAGTGTTGACTAAAGTAATGGGTTGGTGCAAAAGTAATGGCGGTTTTTGCCATTACTTTCAATAGCAAAGATTGCCATGACTTTTGCACCAACTCAATGTGGAACTGGAAGCCCCATTCTAATTCTCTTTTATAATTCTAGTGTGCAATACTTTTTAGGTTTCTTAGAGGGGAATTAGGATGGGCTGCAGAAGTATTAGGGAAAGACTCAACTTGAGGGTGATTGGAGGAAGGGATGCAAGCAGGGTATATTTTCTCCCACATCTCTTTCAATGACATCTTTTCTTTCACAGAGGATGATAGTCAAGGGACACAGGCAAAAGTGGATATTTGGGTGAGTGGGGTGAAGCCTGGATTTGGGAAACAGCTGGTATGTATAACTATGTCATTCTCCTACCCAAACATTAACATGTCTTCCTGTGATTTTTAGGGCAGGGTAGTTCTATCCAGGGGTAATTTTGTCCTCCATTCCAAGGTTATCTGTGAATGTCTGGGGACACTTTGGGTTGGCATACCTTCAGGGTGATGTGTGTGACTGGCATCTGGTGGATAGAGACCAGGGATGCAGCTCAACATCCTACAGTGCCTGGGACAGCCTCCCACAATTAAGAAGTTCCCGGTGCCACATGTCCATAGAGAAAGAGAAATACAAGGGTAGGGGTAAAGTGCCTCAGCTGTCATTCAAAGACCTACATCAAGCACCTAGATTCTCCATGCCACACGCACCTTGTAGCACCTTAATAAATATCGTTGCCTTCTGGGCTCCCCACTCCAACACTTGTGCATATTCCTTATTTCTTACATTTCAGTGAGAGTCAATCTAATTAGCTTTATTTTTTTGAAGGAAAATCTGAGAAGAAATGGAAGCAGAGAGGACATTGCAAGAGAGGCTACTCAACTAATTCAGAGCGTGGAGTTGAAGATCTGGAATGACAGTTTTGCTTCTCCAGGAAAGGGTCGAATTTCTGACTTAGATGTAGGTAAGAGAGGCTGAGTAGAGTTTTTATCACTCTCCGTAAAGACCATTAAGAGGTCTGGGTCCTGGCTTTGCCAGGGTTTCTGAATGATGAAATCTGTGGGTTTCCAGGATCATAGACCCTCTACACCAACATTCTACATGAGAAGGACTCTGTTTTCAAAAATGCAAATTCAAGGGACAAGAGACTAAACCAGCTCTCGTCTTCTTTTCAGCTTCTCTTGGTATGATGGAAAGTATTTAAGAGCATATTCACCACGCCTCCATGGCTAGAGGATAGAAAAAACCTCGGTTATTTTCCTACTCTACTCTCACATAGTAACGAGAACACAGAATACTTCATCTCTGGTCACCAAAATATGTGTGGGCTCATTTTCCACACTGACCACACAGTTCTCTGGTGGATACCAGCTGGGTGTTCTATAATTCAATTATGACATTATCTGACATTCTCTACCAAAGATAGTGTCAGATCCCATAGGCTGCAAGTTTAATCCCACAAAAGTGTTCTTCACCTCAAATGCCAATCTCAAGTTCTAGGTTGTAACCTGTACGTCCGACTGACAGGCTATACATTAGAGTCCCACAACCCCTTCCTTGGGTTTGAGTAATTTGCTAGAGTGACTCACTTAACTTAGGAAAGCACTTTACTTACATTTATCCATTTATTAAAAATATATTACAAATGGGCTGGGTGTGGTGAGTTATGCCTGTATTCCCAGCACTTTGGGAGGCTGAAGCAAGTCGATCGCCTGAGGTCAGGAGTTCAAGACCAGCCTGGCCAACATGGCAAAACCCCATCTCTACTGAAAAAAAAAAAAAAAAAAAAAAAGTATCTGGGCGTGGTGTTGTGTGCCTGTAATCCTAGCTTCCCAGGGGGCTGAGGCAAGAGAATTGCTTGAACCCAGGAGGTGGAGGTTGCAATGAGCTGAGATCGCACCATTGCACTCAAGCCTGGGCAAGAGAGCAAGACTCATCTCTCTCTCTCTATATATATAAAATATATTTAAAATATAAATATATATTTATAAATACTATATATATATATAAATAAAACAAATGATACAGATGAACAGCCAGATGGAAGAGATGCACAGGGCAAGGCATAGAAGAAGAGGTGCAGAGCTTCTAAGCCCCCTTTAGGGGTGCCACCCCGAGGACCCACATATTTTAAGCTATCTAGAATCTCCTAGACAGCTTAACAAATCTTTTGGATTTGTATGGAGGCTTCATTAGTTAGCCATGATTGGGTACATTATTGGCCATTGATATCAACTCAACATTCAGCCTCCCTCCTCTTCCTGTATCTGGGATGGGGGTGAAACTGAAAGTTCCAACCCTTTAATCTCACCATTGGTTTCCTTGGCAACCACCCCCATCCTGAGGCTATCCAGGAGCTGGCTAAGAGTCACCACATTAGAAAAAAAGATGTTTCTATAACCAAGAAAATACAAAGGATTTGAGTTGAGTCACATGCTCCTGTCACTCAGGAAATTACAATGGTCTTAGGGGCGATATGTCAGCAACTTGAGTCCAAGACCAAATATTAGAACAAGAGATTTTCCTAGTGTTCCTACTGCTCAGGAAATGCTAAGGGTTTTAGGAACTGTATATCAGGAACTGTGGTTTCTTCCTAACCTCTGTATCTGTTAATCATTTCAAAGAATCAATTTTTGGCTTTGTTGATTATTTATATTATTATTCCATTTCCTTTTTCTTTAATTTTCTGTATTATTTCTTTCCTTTTACTTCTTTTGGGTCGAACTTGCTTTTCATTTTCTAACTTATTGACTTAGTAATTTGATTACTAATTTTAAACCATTCTCCTTTCCCAATATATGCATTTAAAGCTTAACACTTAGCTATAAATTAGAGCTATGTATTTCCCTCTAAGCACACCTGTAGCTGCATCCTGCAAGTTTTCATATACTGGGCTTTCATTATCATTTAGATCAAAATATTAAAACATTTCCTATGTAATTTGTCATTTAACTCATGGTTTATTTAGAAGTGTGTTGCTGAATTACCAAATATTTGTGGCTTTTTAGGGTTTCCTTGTGTTAATGGCCTCATTTAATTTATTATGGGTTTTAATTAAGAAAGGATGTTGAACTTCGTCAAATGCTTTTTCTACCTCAATTGAGATGATCATTTTATCATCAATTGAGATGGTTTTTATCTTTCATTCTGTTAATGTGATAAATCCTATTGATTGATTTACATATGTTAAACCACACTTGCTTACCAGGAAAAAATAGTTGTGATATATGCTCTTTGATGAGTTGTCTGAGCACATACTATGTAAGATTTCAATCCTTTTGAATTAATTGAGACTTGATTGATAGTCTATTTTGGCAAATGTTCCATATGAACTTAGTGTCTGAATTAACATACCAAATCTGGTGGTATAAGCATGGTAAACAGTGGCTTAACCATTATTTTTTAAATAGTTTTAGCATAAGTGAGTCAGGGCTGATGTAGCAATACCATGGCAGCTCTATGCTCTGCTGCCTTCATCATTCACCTTCACTTTGTGATACAAGACAGCTGTTCTACTATCACACCCTTTTACCAGCCAGTGAAAAGGGGAAAAAATAAGTTGAAAGGATGTCTGTTTCCCTTAGCACATGCCATTCTGTTCTTTGATTCATTGGCCTGAAAATAGTTGCATGACTCTGCCTAGCTGCAAGGGAAGCTGGAAAATGGCTTGTCTTCAGCTTAAATTTAGTAGTTCTAGACCCAAAGAAAGAATAGGTAAATGGTGATCACAGGTAATAAGCAGTCTGCCATAGCCCCTAGGACAGCTTTCTCACTTGCTCAGAGACAAACTCTGGTTATACCCCCAAAATGTTGAGGTTGATCTCACAAAATGTGTTTATAGGTTTGATGAATAGTGTTTACTCAAGGGATTCTTCCCAAATGCAGAAGTTCTGTTCCTAGTGACTATTTTTTGGAGAAAACTTTAAAATGCTTAGCTACTCTTGCTTATAAAGATTGCATTCTCCCCTAACCAGGCACCCCAGTACCATTAAGTGTCCTGTGGAAACTGCTTAGCTTGCCTATCAGAGTACCAGTTCTGGGAAGCACGCCCTTCTCTCTTCTCTTGGGTTGTGGCCAGTGTGTTGCTAAGGCCATTTTGGCCACTCCATTTCTACCAGCCAAAGGTGGGAAGAAAGTGCCATGTGGCCAACCTTGCACAGGGGAGATGGAATCACTAATAGGCGGTCTTCCAGAGAAGGGAGTTCTTTAGCAAATTATTTAGGCATGAGGCTTGAGAACAGGACTGACTTTCTTAATGTTTTCAGTTTATGAAACCAAGAGGTGTAATGAAACAAGGGAGAACGCTTTTCTGGAAGCTGGAAATAACACCATGGATATCAACTGTGCTGATGCTTTTAAAAGAACCCCAAGAGGTACTGTGTCTCCAATGAATTCTCTTGACTCTGAATTCTATGCATCATTGTTTCATTTCTAGGTGATTAAACCCCGGGGTGGGAATTCACAAAGCTTTTCAGGTACGGAGATTCTACATGGTGGAATAAAAAGATCTTCCTTGACCACTAACTAGGCATTTTGCAGAGAGAAGTCGGGTTGCCATATGGGGTGTGTACTTTGTGATATACACAAAAGTTTGCACAGGGATTCCTTGCAATGCCTCCTGAAAAGGGACTGGTTGGGCCGGGCACAGTGGCTCATGCCTGTAATCCCGGCACTTTGGGAGTGTGAGGCGGGCGGATCACAAGGTCAGGAGTTTGAGACCAGCCTGGCCAACATGGAGAAACCCCATCTGTACTAAAAATACAAAAATTAGCCAGGCGTGTTGGTGCGTGCCTGTAATCCCAGCTACTCAGGAGGATAAAGCGGGAGAATTGCTTGAACCCAGAAGGCGGAGGTTGCAATGAGCCGAGATGCTGCCATTGCACCCCAGCTTAGGTGACAGTGTGAGATTCTGCCTCAAAAAAAAAAAAAAAAAAAAGGACCGACTGATGCATGCCGTTTCCATGTGATGGTCTGAAAAGGTAACACTCAACGGTGTCAGATTGCCTTGAACACTTCCTTGAGAAGCGTTTATGAACACCCTTTTCAAGAGAGCCACCCCGTCTTGTTCTTTACCACAGATTGGAAAACGAATGTTCTCTACAAGGTTCAGAGAGTAAATATGTTAGGCCTTTTGTTCCAGATGACCTCTGTCATAACTACTCAACTCTGCCATCAGAGTGTGAAAGCAGCCATTGATGATGTGTCAGTGAAGGAGTGTGGCTGTGTGTCAATAAAACTTTATTTACAAAAGCAGGCGGCAGGCTGGGTTTTACCCTCACAGCATGGTGTTTCACCCCCACTTTATCTCATCTCCTGAAGTCTCTGTAAAGCTCCTGCACTATGTACTTTTTTCTAATGTATTTATTTGTTGGTGGCCCATCTGTCTCACTATGACATCAGCTCTCTGATGGCAGGGGTTTTGTCTGTTTTGTTCGCTGCTGTCTAATAATTCCTAGAATGTCTGGCACACAGTAGAGGATAAAAAAATATTTCCCTGAAAGATAAATGAATGAATGCATATGAACTATTTCAAAGAGAAAAACCTGGTTACCTTAAAAATGAAATATCTGCTGCATTTCCTCCAAAAAATTCCTGGTTACTCATCAATCTTCACTCCTTACTATAGCTATAGAGTAGGGGAAGGGAGGAAAGGGATCTAAAAATAAGTTGATTTTGTTGTTGTTGAGACCGAGTCTCACTCTGTTGCCCAGACTGGAGTGCAGTGACGCAATCTTGGCTCACTGCAGCCTCTGCCTCCCGAGTTCAAGCAATTCTGCCTCAGCCTCCCAAGTAGGTGGGATTATAGGCACCCGCTATGCCCAGCTAATTTTTGTATTTATAGTAGAGACGGGGTTTCACTGTGTTGGCCAAGGTGGTCTCGAACTCCTGACCTCAGGCAATCCGCCCACCTTGGCCTCCCAAAGTGCTGGAATTACAGGCGTGAGCCACCATGCCCAGCTGAGTTGATTTTTTTTAATGGAGCAAATAGGAATACAGATGATAAGTAGCTTTGGTCAAAAATGGGATGGTAGCACGTGGACAACTGCAATTTGGGAAACACCCCATCACACGGGCATCCTGTGTGCACTGAACCTCCATAATTTTTTTTTTTTTGGAGTCAGAGTCTCACTCTGTCACCCAGGCTGGAGTGCAGTAGCACCATCTTAGCTCACTGCAACCTCTGCCTCCTGGGTTCCAGCGATTTTCCTGCCTCAGCCTCCTGAGTAACTGGGATTACAGGTGCCCACCACTACACCTGGCTAATGTTTGTATTTTTAGTACAGATGGGATTTTTGCCATGTTGGGCAGGCTGGTCTTGAAATCCTGACCTCAGATGACCCACCTGCTACAGCCTCCCAAAGTGCTGGGATCATAGGTGTGAGCCACTGTGCCCGGCCTGAAGCTCTCTACATTAAACTGTGGCTTCATGAAAAGGGGAGGGGGAAAAGGAAGACAGGGAGAGGAAGGGTGATAAGATGAGAGAGAGAGAGAAAAGGAGTGAATTAATTAAATACAGTGGGTCATTCTGCACACCATTCCACTAAATTAGGTAACCCAGAGTGAACTTGAGGTGAAGGCTGAGAGAGTGTGATTTTCTTAGACTGCCTGAGTTCCACGTGCCCTTCTGAGGACAAGCATCTTGCCTCACAACTCTGGTTATAATGCTCCAGGGCTCGTATATATTTTTAGGACTCTGATGAGCATATTTTGCACATAAACCGCTTATAGTATGTGGGGCATTATAATACATATTACATAAACAAAAATGCTGCACCCCAAGCGACACACAGTGTCTTGAATGGCATTTAAGGGATTTCCAAGAACAGTTTTAGCCATTCCTTGCTTGCCTTATGACCCTCATGTTAGACACTACTGTCCTTTGTCTCCAAACTATGGACGGCCACTAACAGTATTTCTTTTCCATTTTTCTCAGAGAGCACTGCAGTTGCCCTCATCACGTTTCAATCTCTTGGGGATATTCTGAATGCATCCTTTTTTAGTAAAAGAAAAGGGATGCAGGAAGTAAAACTGAACTCTCATGTTGTGAGTGGCAGCATCGGTTTGAAGGAAAAAGTGTCCCTGTCTGAACCTGTGTTCCTGACTTTTCACCATAATCAGGTGAGAAACACCCCGGGCTGGGTCTTCATGCAGCACCTTAAAGGGTGAGCAGGTGCGGACAGCTTCCCAAGTAGAAAACGAAATTCAGAAGTAAGAGAACACACAAGACACACTGAGGCATCTTCAATGAGATTTCGCCTCACCATGGTGAGGATAGCTATTATCGAAAACTTAAAATATCAGTATGTGGCAAAAATAAAGAAATAAAGAGGAACCCTTATGGATATGCTATTGAAAATGTAATTTGGTACAGTCATTATGGAGAACAGTACAGAGGCTTCTCAAAAAGTTATAAACAGAATTATCATCTGTTCCAGCAATTCCACTTCTGGGTATGTGGCCAAAAGAATTGAAATCAGGATCTCAAAGAGATAACTGCACTCCTATGTTTATTGCAGTATTATTCACACTAGCCGAGATATGGAAACAGCCTATGTATCTGTCAACAGATGAATGAAGTTTTTTTTGTGTGTTTTTTTTTTTTTTTTTTTGAGGCAGAGTCTCGCTCTGTCGGCCAGGCTGGAGTGCAGTGGTGCCATCTCGGCTCATTGCAACCTCCATCTCCCTGGCTGAAGCGATTCTCCTGCCTCAGCCTCCCGAGTGGCTGGGATCACAGGAGTGTGCCACTACGCCCAGCTAGTTTTTATATTTTTAGTAGAGACAGGGTTTCACCATGTTGGCCAAGCTGGTCACGAACTCCTGACCTCAGGTAATCCGTCTGCCTCAGCCTCCCAAAGTGCTGGGATTACAGGTGTGAAACACCATGCCTGGCCAATAGCTTTTTTTTTTTTTTTTTTTTAACAGACGGAGTCTCACTGTCACCCCAGGCTGAAGTGCAATGGCACGATCTCTGCTCACTGCAACCTCCGCCTCCTGAGTTCAAATGATTCTCCTGCCTCAGCCTCCCGAACAGCTGGGATTACAGACACCTGCCATCATGCCTGGCTAATTTTTGTACTTTTAGTAGAGACAGGATTTCACCATGTTGGCCAGGCTGGTCTCAAACTCCTAACCTCAGGTGATCTGCCCGCCTCAGCCTCCCAAAGTGCTGGGATTACAGGCGTGAGCCACCATGCCCAGCCTAATGTATCACACTCAATGTAACTACACTTAATAAGTGTATACGTGAGATCTGCTGAGAAAGTGCATCACAAATGTATTCACCACACAAACACACACACACAAATATGTGAGGTGTTGGATGTGTTAGCTTCATTGTGGTAATCATTTAAAACTGTATACATCTATCAGAATGTATAAACATAGTTTTTTGGGTTTTTTTTTTTGTTTTTTTTGTTTTTTTTTTGGTCAATCACACCTCAGTAAAGCTTGGGAAGAAATGAAATGTTGGGGCATCCAGAAATTGCCACAGTGAGATGCCATTCTCACGCTGAAGCCAAAAGGCAATGGAGGAGAAGCTTTACTGAGCTCAGTGGAAGCAGGAGGCAGGAATGAGGGATCGCTCTGCAGAAGATGGAGATGGTTTAAAGTAGAAAGGGCACAGGGAAGAAATACTTTATTCCTCTCTCTTCTCTCACCCAAAGAGTCTCACCAGTGCCTCTCTTTGGTTCTATAAATAGCAAGGAAGCTGGCGAAGCCATTCAGAGGGTCAACACCAGGGTTCTGAGCTGACCAGAGAAGGGCAGAATAGATGGAGAATAAACCCACCACAGGCGTGGTGATATGAAACTCTTCCCCTACAAGTGTATTTCCGATCCAGTTTCCAACACTGCATAGTGATTAACCTATAAAGTTGAAATAATAAGCTGGGCACGTTGGCTCATGCCTGTAATCCCAGCACTTTGGGAGGCTGAGGTGGGCGGATCACTTGAGGCCAGGAGTTCAAGACCAGCCTGGCCAACATGGTGAAACCCCATCTCTACTAAAAATACAAAAATTAGCTGGGCGTGGTGGTGTGCACCAGTAGTCCCAGCTACTTGGGAGGCTGAGGCAGGATAATTGCTTGAACTCGGGAGGTGGAGGTTGCAGTGAGCTGAGATCGCACCACTGCACTCCAGCCTGGGCAACAGAGCAAGACTCTGTCTCAAAATAAAATAAAATAAAAAATAAAACCAGGAAGAGACCCACTTTCATACTCTTCTCTTTCCAGCCTAGTGACGAGAGAACAAAACATATCTGTGTCTACTGGGAGGGATTGGAGGGAGGCAGCTGGTCCACTGAGGGCTGCTCTCGTGTGTGCAGCAACGGCTCTTACACCAAATGCAAGTGCTTCCATCTGTCCAGCTTTGCCGTCCTCGTGGCTCTTGCCCCCAAGGTACCAAGATTAATTCCTGTGAACCTGTGTATGTCCCAGAAGCTGTGAGTCATCCTCTGCATTTCTTACAAAAAGATTCTAAAGGCCAGGTGCGGTGTCTCACACCTGTAGTCTCAGCACTTTGGGAGGCCAAGCCGGGTGGATCATTTGAGGTCAGGAGTTCGAGACCAGCCTGGCCAACATGATGAAAACCTGTCTCTACCAAAAATACAAAATTAGCTGGGCATGGTGGCGCACACCTGTAATCCCAGCTACTCAAGAGGCTGAGGGAGAAGAACTGAGTGAACCCAGGAAGCAGAGGTTGCAGTGAGCCGAGATCGTGCCACCGTACTCCAGCCTTGGTGACACAGCAAGACTCCATGTTAAAAAAAAAAAAAAAAGAAAGAAAGAAAAGAGGTTCTAAGACAAGGAGTCAAATAGTAGTAGCTTACCTGAAAGCGGATTACAGGAAACACTAGTGGGGGATTGAGACAATGAGATGGAAGTAAGACAGATGTCAGTGCAGACAGCATTATCAAGACAGTTACCACCATAGGTAACTGGACTTTATTCCCTCTGGGGAATCTGGGAGTCAGTGTAGAACTCACATCTCTGGGTCATTCTATCTGAGCTGCAAGGGAGCTGGGGTATTTATACACCAACTCCCATTAGTCATTTGTTAAGAGCTGTATCCAGCACTGGTCTAGTTGTTTCGGTTTTTATCATTCCTGTGTGATGAGTGTTATTACTGCCCTCATTTTGAAGATGAGAACACTAAGTCTCAGAGAGGTAAAGTCAATTGTTTCAGGGACTGAACTAGGAAGCCCATCTGACACTACCTCAGGAACATAACACCACCACTGGACACTATAATGGATTCCCCCTTTGGTGTTTTGCAGGAGGACCCTGTGCTGACTGTAATCACCCAGGTGGGGCTGGCCATCTCTCTGCTGTGCCTCTTCCTGGCCATCCTCACCTTCCTCCTGTGCCGGCCCATCCAGAACACCAGCACCTCCCTCCACCTACAGTTCTCCCTCTGCCTCTTCCTGGCCCACCTCCTATTCCTGACGGGCATCAACAGAACTGAGCCTGAGGTAGGTAATTTACCCAAATTACCTCATGGTCATAATGAATCCAGCCATCTTGTCCCACAAGAAGATAGAGAGCAAAGCATTAGTCAGCAGTGATGGTGTAGAGAGGAAAAGTAAGAGCTCCATTTCAGTTGTCCTCCTATACAAGGGCCATTTAGCAAAGTGATTGAGTGTCAGGCTGATGGTATTAAATAGGGTAACATTAGTGGTTGTTAGGATCACCTCCAGAATGTGAGTGGGAGTTATTTTTTCCTTATGTATCAGTAGAGGGTGAGCAAACAGGTCTGAAGAGTGTCTATCCTGCACCGTCAGGCTGAGGGAAGCTCTCATTTTTCCATACACAGCTCCCAAGGTCATCCTGGTGTTCACATTTCAGCCAGCCCGGAGGGGGAAAAGAACATGGCTGAGTCCCACAGTGGGAGGTTAATATGTGCCACACCAGGAAGTGGTGCATATCACTTCCCCTCACACTCTATTGGCTAGGATTCAGTCACATGATAACACATAACTGCAAGGGTAGTTGGGAAATGTAGTCTCTGGGAAGCCACTTCCTCGTGACAAATCTATACTCTGGATTTGAGGGTGGGGAAGAGGCTTAAGTTTTTGGTGGGCAGTGAGTTTGCTGCACTGATCTGCACTTGAATCGCAGCTCTTCACGTTACTTGCTGTAAAACCTTGTTGAAGTGACTTCCCCTTTTAATTAATTTATTTACATTTATTTTTTAAGCTGAAAAATACAACTATATATATGATATTTTTTTCTGTACAGCATGTTTTGAAATATGTATACATTGTAGAATGGCTCAAGTGATCTAATTAACATTTGCATTACCTCACACACTCAGCTTTGCTGTGTGTGTAGTGTTTTTTTGTTTTTTTGTGTGTGTGTGTGGTGAGAACACTAACAACCTATTCTTTTAGCAGTTTTTGAGAATACATACATTGTTACCATGTAACTATGATCACCATGTTTTACAATAGAGCTCTTGTGGCTTCCCCTTTTTAAACTTCCTCTGCAAAACAGGGGCCTAGTCGTAGGATTTAGTAAGAACTTAGCAAGATAAAACATATAAAAGATTATGAATTAATCACTCAGAGAACAGTGTTCATTTTTGTCTTTATCATGATCATGGCCATCATATGATCCTGGAAGATTTAAAGCTAGATGGTTCTCTAAGTCTTCTATTAACCCTAAAACGCTATGATCACACAACTAGAAAGTTACAAAATCACTCTGTTGATTTTTTAATTTTTTTTTTTCCTGAGAAATAGTATAATTTTATGGTTAAGGGTAAGTACATTTTCTGGAGATAGTTTAGGTTCAAATCCAGTTTTATTTTTTTATTAGCTGTAAGATTTGGGGGCCAGATTTTAACCTCTTGGTGTTTCATTTGAAAATAGGCAGAGGTTGGGAAGACAGTCCTCAGGCCAAATCTGGCCCGCCTTCTGTTTTTGTAAGTTAAGTTTTATTAAAACACAGCCTCATCTATTCATTTACATATTGTCTGTGGCTGCTTTTATGCTACAATGGCAGAATGGTGTAGTTGCAATAGAGATTCAACTGCAAAGCTTAAAATCTGGCCCTTAAAATTTTTTTTTTTTTGCCGGGCGCGGTGGCTCACGCCTGTAATCCCAGCACTTTGGGAGGCCGAGACGGGCGGATCACGAGGTCAGGAGATCGAGACCATCCTGGTTAACATGGTGAAATCCCGTCTCTACTAAAAATACAAAAAAATCAGCCGGGCGTAGTGGCGGGCGCCTGTAGCCCCAGCTGCTCCGGAGGCTGAGGAGGAGAATGGTGTGAACCCAGGAGGCGGAGCTTGCAGTGAGCCGAGATCGTGCCACTGCACCCCACCCTGGGCGACTGAGCAAACTCCCTCTCAAAAAAAAAAAAAAAAAAAAAAAAAAAAATTTTTTTGTCTCACAGTAGTGAGGTAATAATATGAGTTGAGTTAATACTTACAAAGCAATTTGATCAGTGTTCACCCATAGTTAAGTGCTCAGAAGGTACTAATTACTTCTCTGATAAAATTTTCAAATAATGTTTTTAAAATCTGTAAAAATAATATTGTGGTTAAGATGGAGTTGACTTAGTCATCTTGAAAATATATGCTTTTGCTGGGCGCGGTGGCTCAAGCCTGTAATCCCAGCACTTTGGGAGGCGGAGATGGGCGGATCATGAGGTAAGGAGATCGAGACCATCCTGGCTAACATAGTGAAACCCCGTCTCCGCTAAAAAATACAAAAAACTAGCCGGGCCAGGTGGTGGGCGCCTGTAGTCCCAGCTACTTGGGAGGCTGAGGCAGGAGAATGGCGTGAACCCGGGAGGCGGAGCTTGCAGTGAGCTGAGATCCGGCCACTGCACTCCAGCCTGGGCGACAGAGCGAGACTCCGCCTCAAAAAAAAAAAATATATATATATATATATGCTTTTATATAATGATCTAAAATCCTACCTCTTATTTTATTTATTTATTTATTCATTTGATGGATATTCTTCAAATACCTACTGTGTGTCAGGCATTGTGCTGAGAATACATTAATAATTAGGTGAACTACCGCAATTACTTTCCCCATAGAGTTCACAGCTTAGAAACATGTGCTGAGGTTGGGTGTGGTGGCTCACACTTAATCCCGCACTTTGGGAGGCCAAGGCAGGCAGATCACCTGAGGTCAGGAATTTGAGACCAGCCTGGCTAACATGGTGAAAGCCCACCTCTACTAAAAATACAAAATATTAGCTGGTCGTGGTGGCGGGCGCCTGTAATCCCAGCTACTCGGGAGGCTGAGGCAGGAGAATGGCTTGAACCGGGGAGGCGGAGCTTGCGGTGAGCTGAGTTTGCGCCACTGCACTCCAGCCTGGGCAACAGAGCGAGACTCCGTCTCAAAAAAAAAAAAAAAAAGAGGTGGCCACAGATAAAAGTAAATGAATATGTGTGGCCATGTGCTAATAAAACTTTACTTACAAAAATAGATACTGGGCCAGAACTGGCCCAAAGCCACAGATTTCCTAACCCTGCTCAAGGCAGCAATGGAAAGGACTTCAAGCTGGGAATGACAGAAGACACTTCTCAGGTCAACACAAGTTGAAGGTAAAAGTAACTGGAGTGAGAGGAAACTAGCAGCAGAAAGAACAGCAATAGGGCTATGAATAGTCTGAGTGGGAGTTAATAAAAATATGGGCCAGGTGCGGTGGCTCACACCTGTAATCCCAGCACTTTGGGAGGCCGAGGTGGGTGAATCACTAGATCAGGAGTTCAAGACCAGCCTGGCCAACATAGTGAAACCCCGTCTCTACTAAAAATACAAAAAATTAGCCAGGTGTGGTGGTGGTGGGCACGTGTACTCCCAGCTACTCGGGAGGCTGAGGCAGGAGAATTGCTTGAACCCAGGAGGCGACAGTTGCAGTGAGCAGAGATCGCGCCACTGCACTCCAGCCTGGGTGACAGAGGGAGACTCCATCTCAAAAAATAAAATTAAATTAAATTAAAAAATTAAAATATAAACCCTGCTAGAGGAAGTGGGCCAGACTTTAGAATTATTTGTAAGGGGAGTTGGTCAGACTTGAGGCCCAGATAGATGTGGAAGTGGTACATGTGCGAGAAAGCAGAAATAAGGATGAATTAGAGGTTTCCCATTTGGGAGGTTGGGTAGATGGATGGCAGGAAAGAGGAACAGACTTGAAGCAAGAAGTAGAATGAATTTGGTTTTAAATCTGTTAGTTAGAGGTGCTGGTCAGTCACTGGAATTGAGACATACAATAGAAAATTGAAAATAGGAATTTGGAGCCCTGGAGAGATTAGAGCATGAGAAAGGGATATTGGAGTTTTCTACACGAAGGAGACACTTCAAGCTGCAGAAATAATGATCAGAGATACGTAAAATGGATTAAGAATAAAGCTCTGTGGAGGAGGAAGAAGGGGGTAGAGGGAGAAGGAGGAGGAAGAGGAAGAGGGGACGTTGGGACAGGAGGAGGAGGAGAACTCTGCACATAGTCTGTCCATAATCCTCTCCGAGTCCTTGAAGCCATGGTCTCAGAATGGAGGCCACCCTGTAAGGAGGGTCTTCACAGGTGCCAGGCCCTCTGCAAACACATATGAGGTAGGGACCACCAGGATGTAGGAGCCACAATCTCCACATTCCAGGTGAGGACACAGAGGCTTAGAAGTCACACCAGCCTAGTCCACCTTTTAATTGCCAACTATACTTCAAACCAGTCCTTCCTTAAGCCTGAATTCTATTTTCTCTTGAAAATCCCTAGAGCAGTGGTTCTCAGCATCTTTGAGGTTGGATCCCTTTGAGAATTTTGTTGAACGCTAAAGCCCTTTTTCCCAGACAAATGTGCATATACACAAAAGTTTGAATAAAACTTCAGTTAATTCAGGGACAGGAAAAGCAAATTCAGGCCAGGTGCGGTGGCTCACGCCTGTAATCTAAAGATTCAGAGGAGGAAGATACACGAGATATATGAGAAGACTCAAAGATAAGCAGGTGAGAATTCCTGGATAGATGAGTGTCCAGGACATCAAAGGATAGGAAGTGCCAACTAGGTTGATCAGCTTCTGCTGAAAGGCAGATGGACGGGCGCGGTGGCTCATGCCTGTAATCCCAGCACTTTGAGAGGCCAAGGCGGGTGGATCACGAGGTCAGGAGTTCCAGACCAGCCTGGCCAATATGGTGACACTCCGTCTTTACTAAAAATACAAAAATTAGCAGAGTGCGGTGGCACGCACCTGTAATGCCAGCTACTCAGGAGACTGAGGCAGGAGAATTGCTTGAACCTAGGAGGCGGAGGTTGCAGTGAGCCGAGATCGTGCCACTACCCTCTAGCCTAGGCGACAGAGCAAGACTCCATCTCAAAAACAAACAAACAAACAAACAAACAAACCCAGAAATGCCAAGTAGAGAGACCGCTGGATTTGGTAGTTAGGAGGTTATGTTAGTCAGGGTTTCTGGAGACACAGAAATAGTAGGATGTGTGTATATTACTTGATTGGATTTAACTGCTTCGTATTTTTAGTAGAAATGAGGTTTCACCATGTTGGCCAGGCTGGTCTCAAACTCCTGACCTCAGGTGATCCACGCACCTCGGCCTCCCAAAATGCTGGGGATTACAGGCGTGAGCCACTGCACCTAGCCAATAGATGTGTTTTTAAGAGTTTCCACTATGGTCATTTGGAGCTCAGTTCCACCGAGGATCCCCAGGGGGCAGTGTAGAGAACATGTCTTCGTTGTTAGTGGATTCTACCAATTTTTGTTTATTATACATTTGGGGGCTGTTCCCACGACATATATTCCTTGGCTTTCTACCCTGCTCTATGCATGATGTAAACAGACTTCAATAAGTAGCAGAAGTCCTCAGAAAATGTTTAGCCCCCAGGCAAAATGTTATAGGTGCTCAAATAGAAATTCCAGGCAGCATCCAGGAAATGCTACGTGCTGAGCATATAATCAGGTACAGACCACATCTGCTGTACACCCCTGACTCTTCTGTTCCCTTCAGGTGCTGTGCTCCGTCATTGCAGGGCTGCTGCACTTCCTCTACCTGGCATGCTTCACCTGGATGCTCCTGGAAGGGCTGCACCTCTTCCTCACCGTCAGGAACCTCAGGGTGGCCAACTACACCAGCATGGGCAGATTCAGGAAGAGATTCATGTACCCTGTAGGCTACGGGATCCCAGCTGTGATAATTGCTGTGTCTGCAATAGTCGGACCCCAGAATTATGGAACATTTACTCAGTAAGCATAATGCGTGTCTTTATGATGGTGGTAGCAATGGCCATGGTTCCTGCGTGACTTAAAACCAAAATGTTTTCTTAGTCCATCTTTTCTTTCTTTTTTTTTTTTTTTTTTCAGATGGAGTTTTGCTCTGGTTGCCCAGGCTGGAGTACAATGGTGAGGTCTTGGCTCACTGCAACCTCCATCTCCCGGATTCAAGAAGTCATTCTCCTGCCTCAGCTTCCCAAGTAGCTGGGACTACAGGTGCCTGCCCCCATGCCTGGCTTATTTTTGTATTTTTAGTGGAAATGGGGTTTCACCATGTTGGCTAGGCTGGTCTCGAACTCCTGACCTCAGGCGATCCACGTGCCTTGGCCTCCCAAGGTGCTGGGATTATAGGCATGAACCTTCACACTCAGCCCTTAGTCCATCTTTTAATTGCCAATTATACTTCAAACCAGTCCTTCCTTAAGCCTGAATTCTGTTTTCTCTTGAAAATCCCTAGAGCAGTGGTTCTCAGCATCTTTGAGGTTGGATCCCTTTGAGAATTTTATTGAAAGTCAAAGCCCGTTTCCTCAGACAAATGTACATATAAACAAAATTTTGAATACAACTTCAGTTAATTCCGAGACAGGAACAGCAGATTCCGGCCAGGCACAGTGACTCACACCTGTAATCCCAGCACTTTGGGAGGCCGAGGTGGGCGGATCACCTGAGGTCAGGAGTTCAAGACCAGCCTGGCCAACGTGGTGAAACCGCAAGTCTACTAAAAATACAAACAATTAGCTGGGTGTGGTGGCGTGTGCCTGTAATCCCAGCTACTCAGGAGGCTGAGGCAGGAGAATCGCTTGAACCCAGGAGGCGGAGGTTGCAGTGAGCCGAGATTGCACCATGGCACTCCAGCCTGGACAACAAGAGCAAAACTTCGTGTCTAAAGGAAAAAAAAAAAAAAAAAGCAAATTCAGAGCCCCACATTAAGCACCCATGAGCTACATGTTCTCCTGGATTCTGAAAGAGTAGGTGGAATGGGCTGAGATGAATCTCCAAGATGTCAAGAATAACACCAATATTAAAAGTATCAAAGCCCTGTGGTGCATCAAAAATGGTGCTTCCTCTATGCAGCAGCTCATGCCATTCTCACCATGACCCTATGATGTCAGCAGTTTATTTTCTTACGCACAGGACACCTGGGCTTGAGTGCATTTCATAAACTTTTCCAAGGTCAGAGCTGCAAGGTGAGTAAGTCAGAATTTTCAAGGCAATACTCTGAATAGCCATGTTTTATTGCTTCACTAAAGAAGCTTGCAAAACTCAACACATAACACTTAGTTGAAGTAGTTAATATTTTGTTAATGGTGCTTGGGTTAGGAAGTAGGTTGTGCATACACTAAAACATCATGTATGTTGTTTTATCATGTATGTTGTCCCTCTTTTTTTTTTTTTTTTTTTGCAGTGGAGTTTTGCTCACCTGCCCAGGCTGGAGTGCAGTGGTGTGATCTCGGCTCACTGCAACCACCATCTCCCGGGTTCAAACAATTCTCCCGTCTCAGCCTCCTGAGTAGCTGGGATTACAGGCACCCACTATCATGCCCGGCTAATTTTTGTATTTTTTAGTGGAGATGGGGTTTCACCACGTTGGCCAGGCTGGTCTTGAACTCCAGACCTCAGGTGATCTGCCTGCCTCGGCCTCCCAATGTTGTCCCTCTTAAAGTCAAAGAGATACTTTGTTTCCAGCTTGAACTCTATATCCTGCCAGAATGGTGGAGATAGAATGATAGAGGAGTTGACCAACATTTCCTTTTTTTTTTTTTTTTTTTTTTTACAATTTTAGGTACTCCCTTCTGATTTTTTTCTATTATGGGAGATGGGAATTTCGTGTGTGTATTCTTTTAAAATTATACTTTAAGTTCTAGGGTACATGTGCATAACGTGCAGGTTTGTTACATATGTATACATGTGCCATGTTGGTGTGCTGCACCCATTAACTCGTTAATTACATTAGGTATATCTCCTAATGCTATCCCTCCCCCATTCCCCCTCCCCACAATAGGCCCCGGTGTGTGATGTTCCCCAACCTATGTCCAAGTGTTCTCATTGTTCAATTCCCACCTATGAGTGAGAACATGCGGTGTTTGGTTTTCTGTCCTTGGAATAGTTTGCTCAGAATGATGGTTTCCAGCTTCATCCATGTCCTTACAAAGGACATTAACTCATTCTTTTTTATGGCTGCATAGTATTCCATGGTGTATATGTGCCACATTTCCTTAATCCAGTCTATCACTGATGGACATTTGGGTTGCCATTGTGGAAGACAGTGTGGCAATTCCTCAAAGATCTAGAACTAGAAATACCATTTGACCCAGCCATCCCATTACTGGTTATATACCCAAAGGATTATAAATCATGCTGCTATAAAAACACATGCACACATATGTTTATTGCGGCACTATTTACTATAGCAAAGACTTGGAACCAACATTTTCAATAAATGGCCAGATAGTAAATATGTTTGGCTTTGCTGGCCACAGGGTCTCTGAGGTGACTACTCAATGTTGCCCATGTAGTGTGAAAGCAGCATTGACAATATGTAGCTGAATGAGTATGATTGTCTTTCAGTCAAACTTATGAAAGCAAGTAGTGGGCTGGATCTGACCCGTAGGCCATAGTTGGCAACCCTTCGGATAGAACTTAAATTTGGAAGCTTTTCTGCCTACTGAATGTTGGAGATTCAGGCTCTCAGCTTCCATTTAAAAATAAGGTATGCCACTTTGGGAGGCCGAGACGGGCGGATCACGAGGTCAGGAGATCGAGACCATCCTGGCTAACCTGGTGAAACCCCGTCTCTACTAAAAAATACAAAAAACTAGCCGGGCGACGTGGCAGGCACCTGTAGTCCCAGCTACTCAGGAGGCTGAGGCAGGAGAATGGCAGGAACCCGGAAGGCGGAGCTTGCAGTGAGCCGAGATCGCGCCACTGCACTCCAGCCTGGGCGACAGAGCGAGACTCCGTCTCAAAAAAAAAAAAAAAAAAAAAAAAGGTATGCTACCTTTGCCATCATAAGCCAAGAGAGAATACACATTGTTTGGACAACAGAGTACCTGATGCATGGAATATGCTTAATTACAGTTAGTTTTTATAGCTGTAGTTAAGTTACTGTTTTTACTCTCTCAATATAACAATCATTATCAACTTGCTAACTACATTTATTACCATGAACTCATTGCTAGGAACTGTAGTCAAAAACTTTAAGCACATTATCTTCTTTAATCTTTCCTACAAGTTCTATATGAAAGCAGTGACAAAATTCTGATGAAAAAAAATCAAAGGATATCCAAATAGAGAGATATTCTATGTTCATGGATAAGAAGACTCAACGTTGTCAAGATGGCAGTTCTTCCCAACTTGATCTATAGATCCAACACATTCCAAATCAAAATCCCAGAAAATTATTTTGTGGATATTGACAAATTGATTCTGAAGTTTAGATAAAGGAGGCAAAAAACCTAGAATGGCCGACACTGTTTAGAAGGAGAACAATGAAGATAGAGAACTGACATTCCCTGACTTCAAGCCTCAGTAGAGAGCTACAGTCATCATTTAATCTTTCCAGTACTTTGATCAGCTCTATTATACACTTGAAAAAACTCAGCCTCAGAGCATGCATCTGCGTCAAATGAGAACTCACATCTGACTCCATCTAAAATTCAGGATTCTGAGCGAAGCAACTCCTGGCCCTGTTCAGATCTTGCACCAGGAGCCTGCATTCAAGGTCTCTGCCTTCTCCCAGGGAAGAGGCAGTTAATACTTCTCTCTCTTTCTCAACAGCTGTTGGCTCAAGCCTGATAAAGGATTCATCTGGAGCTTCACGGGGCCAGTGGCAGTCATTATCTTGGTAGGTGATAATTATTTATGGGTGTGCCCGCCTTGGGTTGACCAAGCATATAAAATGTTTTTCTTATCTAAGGGGAAATGAGATGAAGATAAGAAATACAGCCTAATGTGATCAATCCCTCTTCTTCTGTCTTCTGTCTTCACTTTTCTTTCCTTGGATTCCCCCTGGCTCACTTGTTGCTTTGATGTAATAATATCATCTCTCCTGGGACTTCTTTTTCAAAATGCTGTTATTCATTCATTCAACAAATATTTAATGGTTGGCCTCTCTACACAGGATGACTTGGTTTCCTGTTTGCCAGGAACTTTCTGATGACACCCGTTCCCTGGTAGAGACATTAATAGCACCCTTCCACTTTCAAAGTGTCCTGGTTGGAATGATAAATTGTATCGTCACCGAATCAAGCACCAAATGCTACAGGGTATATGCTGTGTGTTGCATGTAATAGACCAGAACATATGGGTGTACCATCTTTATAAAACCTGTGTCTTTTGGGAAAAGATTCTTAGGTCCCCCTGAAATTAGACTGTATAAAATGGCTCCAAAAGAAAATTCCAAGTCACTTTTTTCATGTGGTTCCCACAGATAAACCTGGTGTTCTACTTCCAAATTCTGTGGATTTTGAGAAGCAAACTTTCCTCCCTCAATAAAGAAGTTTCCACCATTCAGGATACCAGGTAAGAGGGCACCAGAATCAGTGGCCCCCACACGTTATTCCTGCGTGATCACTCTTTTGGGAAAGAAAGAACCCACGCAGAAATATGATCTAAATTACCTTGGTATACGATAAAAGGTATGTGAAGGACAATTTATAGAAGAAATAGAAACTCTGATTTTCAGGTAACTTCATTTCCTTATTCAATAAATATTCATGCCGAGTGCGGTGACTCACACTTGTAATCCCAGCACTTAGGGAGGCTGAGGTGACAGGATTGTTTGAGTCTAGCTGCTCAGGACCAGCCTGGCAACATATTGAGACCCCTGTCTCTACAACAAATTTACAAAATTGGCTGTGCATAGTGGCGTGTGTCTGCAGTCCCAGCTATCTGGGAGGCTGCAAAAGGAGAATCACTTGAGTCAGGGAGGTTGAGGCTGCAGTGAGCTATGATCATGTCACTGTGCTCCATCCTGGGCAGCAGAGCGAGACTGTCTCAAAAAAAAAAAGTAAAAGAAGCACTCATCAAGTGCCTCCTTTGTATAACATACTCTTCCAAGAGAATCAGCATCCTCCTCCCACTCCACCAAGAGCCCATATACCTCTGGACTCTGTTTTCTTTCTCTTTCTTTTTTTCTTTCCTTTTTCTTTTTTCTTTTTCTTTTTTTCTTTTTCTTTTTTTTTTTTTTTTGAGACCGAGTGTCACTCTGTCACCTAGGCACGATCGTGTCCAGTGGCACAATCTCGGCTCACTGCAACCTCCATCTCCCGGGTTCAAGCAATTCTCCTGGGTTCAAGCAATTCTCCTGTTTCAGCCTCCTGAGTAGCTGGGACTACAGGTGCATGCCACCACCCCCGGCTAATTTTTGTATTTTTAGTAGAGATGGGGTTTTACCATGTTGGTCAGGCTGGTCTCGAACTCCTGACCTCAGACGATCCACCCGCCTCAGCCTCCTAAAGTGCTGAGATTACAGGCATGAGCCACCGCACCTGACCTGGACTCCATTTCTTTGGTTGTAGAAACTCAATTCTCATGGGTACCAATCTACGCTATTAAAAATAATGATGACAAAAACTAATGTTCAATAGAATCTTGATAGATGCTGGACATTTATCAATATTATTTCATGGCGTGCTAATACTTTCAACCCATGGGGTGAATGCTACTAATACCCTCATTGATAATATGAGCCCACAGCTCACCTTACACAAGGGTGGGTAAGGATCTTGCCTTGGTGAGTCATGTGTATGAAAATTAAAAGGACTGTCTGTCTATTTCAAGCCCTGTCTCTAGTCTCCTCTACTTACGAAATCAGTCTGATATTTCTTAGCCTTGGTTTCCTCAATTATTGAGGGTCAAAGTGCCACCCTTCTTGGTGGTTCCCCATTCCCCTATTTCTCAATTCCTTACCCTCTAAGGGCTCACTTCTTCCTTAGAACTGCAAGCAGCAAGCTCCATGTCTGACCTCATCCCCAGCAGCCATGCCCTGTTGCCAACCTCTTCCTCTTGCTGGTGAATAGACAGTTATCCTGTTGTGCTACACTAGGTTAATGCCATACTTTGGGGTAGAGATTAACTATCTCGTCTATTTCTTAAGTAATAAATCCGAGGTTAACACTGACATGGTGGAAACATCGTGCTCTTTCAATAGGAAGGACTTGGATTCTAGAAATTTCAAACATCATGGCAGGAAGGGGAGGCTGGATAAGAGGAGTTGAGAGACTTGTTCCAGATCTGTTAGAAGCCCCCAACCACTTGAGTCCCTTTGCCTCCTAAGCTCCAGAATAAACCATAGTGCTATCGAATCCCATAACTGGCCAGGCACAGTGGTTCACGTCTGTAATCCCAGCACTTTGGGAAGCTGAGGCGGGTGGACCATAAGGTCAAGAGATCGAGACCATCGTGGCCAACATGGCAAAACCCCGTCTTTACTAAAAATACAAAAATTAGCTGGGCGTGGTGGCGGGCACCTGTAGTCCCAGCTACTCGGGAGGCTGAGGCAGGAGAATCGCTTGAACCTGGGAGGCGGAGGTTGCAATGAGCCGAGATTGCACCACTGCACTCCAGCCTGGGCAACAGAGCAAGACTCCATCTCAAAAAGAAACAAAAATCGCGTATTTATGACTCCCTTTGCCTGCACCTTGGCTCTGTCCTCTTCTCCCTGCAGACTGACTTTCCACAGCTGATGAACAGGGCAGAGCCACCCCAAAGGGTTCTCAGAGATTCATTCTCCAAGCCTCTTACTTCAAATGCTTAAGACAGAAAATCTGGTTGGCTGGGGGAAAATGGATTGATTGACTCTTTATAGGTCAGGTGTCTACTCTGGGACAACTGGCTATGGTCAGTGGGGATGAAGCCATATGGCACCCTTTAGGTCAAAGAGAAAGTTGTCATGGGAGAATCCTGATATACCAGTGATTATGCTGTCTCCTAAATGTAGACATAGGTAGGTTTTCTGTCATTTCTGTAAGTATATATCTTTCTGTAAGCATAAATGGAAGGAGGACTGGATATAAGAAAAATCACCAAGCTAGATTGCAGTTGTGGAAAACCTAGGAACCAAATCAGGAGCAGGAAGGACTGATTAGCAAGTTTATCACAAACCATAATATGTATTGAGTATTTACTTTGTGCTAGGCATTGTTCTAAGGACTGGAGATAAAGCAGAGAGTAAAACAGACCAAAATCCCTGCCCTCATAGAGTTTATATTCCCAGGGGGTAATGCAAAAAGTAAAAAGTGAAGTCTCATAGACACACACACACACTCACACACACACTCATTAGCTCTCCCAGCCAGCTGCCATCAACAATCCCACTCCATTATATGAAACACAATATTTTTTGTGTGAAGAAATCCAACATTATGTTATGTTCTAAAGTCAGGAATTCACCATTATTCAAAATTTTTAATACAGATTTCTAGAAGGCATTTTCCCATAAATCTTCCAAAAAGTCTAGGCAGAAGACATGCAGATAAATCAAATTATTTTCAGCGCTGGGGAAAAAGCACTATTCTCAGTGATTTGCCATGATTGAAACCATGGGTTCCACTTCATCCTCAAGCTGTGTGACCTTGTTGTATATGTCACTTAACTGCATGAAGCTGTTGTGAGGTTTAAATAAGGGAAAGCATTTAGTTCGCACTAATGTTAACTACACTTGTGGTGAATACCTGGTAAACCGTAGTTATTATTACTTTTATTCCCTGCAGAGCCATGACATTTAAAGCCATTGCTCAGCTATTTATCCTGGGCTGTTCTTGGGGCCTTGGTCTTTTTATGGTTGAAGAAGTAGGGAAGACGATTGGATCAATCTTTGCATACTCATTCACTATCATCAACACTCTTCAGGGAGCATTGCTGTTTGTGGTACACTGTCTCCTTAATCGCCAGGTAAGACTACTTATTTTGTCTGTCATCAGCCTAGTCCCAAAGTCTAATTGAATGGTTGTTCACATTCTCACTCTTCTCTGACCTTTTATAATTGTATTTTGGGGTTGTCTTGATTTGAGGATGAGGGTTTAGGTGTTGCTGGGGTATGCTATATCCTGTGGGTTTCATCTGTTTAGCATCATATCTCTGAAGAGCATGGATCAGTCAGGATAAGATGGATTATGCTGCAATAACAAATAGCCCCTTGCCTCCCACACTCAGTCTTAGCAACTTACAACAATAAATGTTTATTTCTTGCTTGTGCTACATAAGTACATCATCTTTCCTCTGGGGTGCAGGCTGAAGGTATGACCTCTTTGGGACATTGATGGTTTCATGGCACAGGAAAAGGAGATTGTGAGAAAGCTCAGCTTAGCTCTCTTAAAGCTTCTACCTAATAGTGATGCACCTCTGTTCTGCTCTCATTTAATTGGTCAAAGCAAGTCACATGGCCATACCTCAGTTCACCAAGAAGGGGATGAATAATCCTCCTGTAGTGAGGGGCACTACAGGAAGTGATGCTGAAATATGTGGTACAATCTACCACAAACTCAAAAAGACTTCAAGTCTAATCCCAGTTCCTCCACTGAGTAGGTGGCTGTGTGACTCTGGGTAAACTGCCTATCCTTTCTGAGTATCATCTGTAGTTTTCTCATCTGCAGATGCGGTGATGCCTTCATTACAGGGTTGAATATTTAAATGAATCAGTGCAATCTCCTAGCATAGTCCTTAGTACACATTAGGATCTCAGTGAGTGTTGTTATTTCAATTTTACTCTCCATAGAAAATTAGGACCAGTTCTCCTGGCATTTTCCCTTTGCTGTTGAATAAAACTACAAGCAGTTAAGATGCTAGTGACAAAATGCTATCTTAACATGTCATTAATTTCTCTTCAATCTTTTAATGCCTTAATGCTTGGTACTTCTCACTCACAGAAGAAGTAAAATCAGTTTTAGAATGTTAAGGAGGTTAGAGAAAGGCAATTCTTGGAATCATGGAGGATGGGTGAGTGTAATGGCTAGCGTCAGGGCTCTCAATAAAGATGACAAGATTTTGAGTCCTGGCTGTGTGACCTTGGGCAAGTCAATTTACCTGCAAGAGTCTCAACTTCTTCATCTTTAATTGTGGGTAGGAGAAATGTCTTTCTCACTCCATTTATGTAAGAATTAAATGATATATTGCATATACAGTGTATTGAATATAGTTAGTGTTCAACAAATGGTGACCTTCACCATCATATAATCACCAACACTCCCACCATTATCATCTAACCATCATCACCATAGTCACTTTTATCATTACCACCATTATCATCTTTATCATAATCACCTTCACCATCACCACCTTCATTACCTTTATCACACCTTCATCATCTTTACTATTATCACCATCACCATCATCACCATTACCATAACCTTCAATATCACCCTTATCATCATCACTAGCATCACCACCACCTTTATCATCACTTTCACCATCACCTTCATCACCATCTTCATGATCATCACCATCACCATCATCACCATTACCATCACCTTCATCATCATCACCTTCACATTACTTTCATCAGCATCACTATCACCACCGTCACCATGACCTTCATCATCACCTTCACTACCATCACCTTCATCATCACCATCATCACCTTCATCATGATCATTTTCATCATCATCACCATCATCACCATTACTTTTACCATTGTCCATTCCATTATCATCAACTTCATCATCATCACCTTTCACCATTATCATCACTATCACCTTCATTATCATCATCTTCATTATCATCACCCTCACCATCATCACCATTACCATCCCCTTCACCATCATCAATTTCATTACCTTTATCACCTTCATCATCACCGTCATCACCATTACCATCACCTTCATCATCACCATCATCATCTTAATTACCTTCATTACCACCACCACCAACAGTCACCTTCATCACCATCATCATCATCATCATCATCTACTGAGTCCTATAGTGACTGATATTTAATACACACCTTTTTTACAACTGAGAAGTTTGAGTTTAAATAAAATGAATCAACATAAGCATGGCCAAGATTATATGGAAAACTAGAAAGAGAGTAGGGCTTGGTGTCTTTATCTTTAACCTCCCATTTTAGGATTCTTTCTCCTAAACTGAGCCCTGGATGTAACATGGACCTCTCTACTCAAATTTCCAGGTGCGAATGGAATACAAAAAATGGTTTAGTGGGATGAGGAAAGGAGTAGAAACTGAAAGCACTGAGATGTCTCGCTCTACTACCCAAACCAAAACGGTAAGATCAGCCCTTTCTGAGTTCCTTATTGGAACCCAACATCTCATGCCTCTGGAAGCTTCCTGGTTCTTTGATCTGAAAGAAAAGAGAAATTGCATTAGGTTCCTGTATTATGCAGCTGAAGTTTCTGGGTATTGAGACCAAAACCAGAACCAACCCTTCCTTCCTTCCTTTCTTTCTTCTTTCCTTGCTTCCTTCTTTCCTTCTTTCCTTCTTTTTCTCTCTTTTTTTCTTGCTCTCTCTCAGTCTCTTTCTCTCCCTCACTCCTGGTTTCCCTTTCCTTCCTTACATTTTATTTCTTTCTCACTCTCTTTTTCACTATCTCTCTTTGTCACTCCCTTCCTCCTTCTCTCTCTTTTCTGACTCTCTGATCCATTCTTTCTATCCCTCCCTCCTTCTCTTCCTCTCTCTTTTCATTTCTTCCTTCAACAAATATCCAAAGGATATTTAACATTTTAAAAAATTTATTAACTACACTCATTTAACAAATATTTATTGTCCGGCACTGTTTAGGTGCCGGAGAACCATCAGTGGACACATTGACAGTAGTCCTTGACCTCACAGCGCTAACATTCTAGTTGGGTGAGGGGACTGACAACAGACCTCAAAAAGTGAATTTTATGATATGTTACAAAGTGATAAATGCTTCAGAAAAAAATAGAGCAATGGAGAGCAGCCAGGAATGACAGGGTGGGAGGATTCCAGTTTTAAATAAGGTGACTACAAGAAGTTGGCACTTGACCAAAAATTTGAAGGCTGTGTATGATAAAAACGACCTCTGGTTTGTGAAATTATCTAGATTTGGAGGACTAGAAAGAGACTTTTGGTCAGAAACCACAGATTCCTGAGTGCTGTGACTCATGAAACTGGGTTTGCCCCTAGAGGGCAGCCTAAATGCTAAGACCATGGAGCTGTTGCAAAGATATGAGCTTTATTTGGGACAGAGAGCTTCTTAGCTAGGGTAGCACCTCTCATCGTGAGGATTAAATGATGTCAAATAAGCACGTAGAAGGCTGCCTGGCACCACACGAAGCCCCTGCAAATGTTTGTGAAAAGATAAAATAAAATAACCATTATTAGATGGTGGAGCTTTTTTGGAGGAGGGTGGGAAGTTGTAATGTCAGATATTGAGCTTTGGACCTTACAGAAATCCTAGCTTGTCATCTCCGGGCAGGTTAGAAGTTTTAGTTAATTTCTGAGGTATTACATTCTCTTTCACCTTTTCTCCTTATTATCTTTCCCCTAAGTAGGAAGAAGTGGGGAAGTCCTCAGAATTCATTCATAAAGGAGACACTCCATCATCATCTGCAGTTTCAAGCAAGCAACCACAGCCACAGGTTCATCTTGTCTCTGTTGATTGGCTAAAGATGAACTGACCTGGCAAATGCCATGGCAATGACCCGGAAGTTATCACTGCTTTCCGTTTGTCTACGGCGCCCCTGTGGTCACACACAGATTGGACAAATGCTACTATTTCTAGCTTTCCTGTGAAAAGTCCAGGCTCACTCACCTATTTTGGCTTTTTATCTTCATAGAAAGAACAAGACATTTGGGAGAATTCTTAGATCCGGAGTCCAATAGTGTGGCACATGCAATGAAGTGTCTGAAGGATGCATTTTAAAGATGGTGGGCGGGAGAAGTGGATTTTCTTCTTGCAGCTACTGCCGCCTTGCCAGAAAATCACTAACTGGAATCTGGATTCAGCTCATAGTTCCCTTTCTGGCCTCTCTGCTGTATTTTATGCTCCCAAAGATCTTACATCGTCACTCCACATTCACATAATTCAGCAATTTCCATGCGGTTCAATATTAAAGAGGGTGTTGCATTTCGCAATACAAAAAGGTATCATCATTTCAGCTTAGGGGCGCATTGTCATTGGACAGGCTCTTTTGTCCAAGACACTGGCATTTTCTCCATTTTCTTTGCCTGAGACTGTTTTTTTTTTTTTTTTTTTTT